CTCGCTATTGAGCACAGTGAGGAGACAGAGAGGGACTGTACCTTTTACAGAACACACACCTGTTGGTTTCACCGCCAAAACACAATGCAACCCCATTTCATCCACGATGGGGCTGTCAATAGTGTGTGGCAGTGTACCTCGCTATTCTACCGTGTGTGTGGATGCAGATCATCACGTAATTACTTTTAAAGATGTCATTAAATCATTATGTTGATGCGCGGAGATTATCTGTAAGTGACGGGGTTATCTGTTACCTGATTAGCGTCAGATAAAGTTGAAAACCTCAAGCGTTTAAGTCAAACCCTAGGCTTCAACTTTAGAGTGGTTTATTCGCAAATCGGTTTATTTTGAAGCTATTAAGACATAAATGAAGCAAAGATTAACTTAGTTTTGAAGATTTAAAGAGATAAGCTCCCTTCCTGCTGAAGGCTAGATTGTTTCTCACTCTTTGGAGATGTGACATTTCAAAGGAGAAGAACAAGATGTGGATTACCACCCAATCAGAATCAGAAACAGGTTTATTGCCAGGTAGGTTCGCACATACTAGGAATTTGACTTGATGTCATGGTGCATAATTCAATGTTATGCTTCAAAAGCTAATGGATAAAGTACAAACATATCTGTGTAACTATGATTTCTTGGGGGAAAACAACATCCTACCTCACTGTTGATCAATCTAAACCTGTAATCCACATGTGATCTGAGTCTTGATATAACGTCTTTCAGATACACAGAAGAATAGCAGAAGAAGCGCTTTCATCTTTCTGCTCTGCCTCCTGGATGAATATTTGGCTCGAGACAAAAGGTGAGCCAATCAATTATTCCTCCTGCTCTACCCGGTGCTGTTGTGAAAAGCGTTGACATTTGAGCTTTCCAGACGACATCTGCACATTGATATGCCTTCCATTGTGCGAGGCAGCCAGCCCTGCATCAAAAGGCTGTAAAAGGCCTTGTCAATGTAGTAAAGACAACTCCACAAAGACTCCTTTCTCCTCTGTTGTTATGGGAATAATGCTTTTCATCCGTGTCCTGCCAAAACCTGTTGGCAATTTATCCAGGTGATGTTATTGATGGCATTGATAACAGACATCTAACATGGCAGCCGTCAAACTGTCAGAGACGCATTGAAACATCACAAACGTCTTCATGGAGGCTTTTTACAATGAATATGTGCACAATAGATGTCTCACCTTCAACATACTGTAGCTGACTGAAACCTCCATGTAAATATAAAATGGTAAGTCAATTGTCTCCATCCCTTAAATCTCCTTTCCCTTAAATGTCACCGTACAGGCGTACAGTAGCGTCTCTTCGCCAAACATCACGGACTGTTACGAGTCCTTACTAGAGGTCATTTTTGCGGATGGTTGTCAGTCACTATGCATCCATTATAAGCCCATTAGAAGTACTTTAAAATGAAATATCATCCATACGACACACAGATAAATCATAATAAGTCACATAGCTGTTGAGACATCAGAAAGCATTATAGTTCACTGAATGCACTTCCAAAGGTTTGTGTTAATCTAAATGAATGCACATATCATAGATATATGACTTACTCACGAGTCTTTTGTCTGAGCAGACAATAATATATACAGTACTACAAAGCTGGTACTCTGACAGGTTCATATAAGTACTGAATACTAAGAAACATGTACAGATCTTTAAATTGTTGTTTACATCAAAAAGTATCAATGCATGCATCGAATACATGACGTACACACAACTTGGTACACAGACTACAGCCTACAATGCAAGGCCTGTAGAGTTACTCTAATCAATACTCAATATGCGTGCGTGCGTGCGTGCGTGTGTGCGTGCGTGCGTGCGTGCGTGCGTGCGTGCGTGCGTGCGTGCGTGCGTGCGTGCGTGTGTGCGTGCGTGCGTGCGTGCGTGTGCTCACTGGAGTTGAGAGTGGCTCGTGTCTTGGCGCTGGTGCAGTAAGCTTCGATGACCTTCAGGATCTGAGCGTCCTCCTCTAGAGCTGCTGTACCTGAGAGAAAGTGTGTGTGTGTGTGTGTGTGTGTGTGTGTGTGTGTGTGTGTGTGTGTGTGTGTGTGTGGTGTGTGTGTGTGTGTGTGTGTGTGTGTGTGTGTGTGTAAGGTATTGGCATCACAATATACTTCAATTACAAAGTACTCATTTTTCAGTATGGCCCACATCAAATATGACATGTTCAATCCGTGTATCTACCGTCCAATTGTTTTTCTTTATTAAACACGTAAACGGAAGAGCGTCTGAGAGGCCTTTTTGCTTTTTACCTTACTGAATGGTCTAATGGTCATTGGAGCGAGGGGCGGGGCCAAACTCACTGAAGTGATTTCAAAACAAAAGCACTCGTTTGCTAAAATCACACTTTGAATCACTCCAGTATTCTGCTGAAGGACCGGTGATTATTATAAACAAGGGGAATTTAGCAATTACAACGAAAACAGCCAAGACACACATTGAGCCCAGAAAATGGATGTTATTAGGGCTGTAAATATAATAAGCCTCTGTCTAAAATGGACAACATTGTTAGGAGATTTACAGCGGTTCTGCACTGCGGTCACTCAGCCGCCTCTCGAGTTTGTTTTTTCAAATCAGCTGCTCTTCATTATTCCTGCTATATTTGACGAGTGATACAAATATTTGTTACCACAAGTTCTTAAGGAAACTGACACTGTTGGACTCGGTTCTAGTTTGACTTCTACCAGAAATAAAATAAAGTAGCCTACTTACTGTGTACTTTTCCAGTACTCCTCTGTCAATGTCCCCTCCTGAGAACAAGAATGCATGTTTCTCTGCTATTTTGAATAAGTGTTAAAAAAACCTTTCTTCATGAGACTGATATTGTTGGACTGAGTATTTTAAGAGGATGGTAGACTTGATATCAGCAATACTTCCAGTCAGTACTCCGGCAGCAGCATTTTTACCCCTTGGAAAGTCTTTAGAGACTTGCCTGGATAGCTGGTCTATCCTTCAGCACACTGACACACTCTGTCACTCTTGTTGGCCTCCTCTGCTGTCTTTCAATATACGATTATTTCTCAGCCGCTAGTTCGTTCCTCGCAGATTCTTCAGTCTCATCAGCCTCATCCTTCCATCAGTCCCAGTCAACGCCTCCAGCACACTTCCAGTGTCTGACTCCATAGGATATTGTCCTGATGCTGTAAGGGTGATGCTCCATGATCACAACATGACCCCTCTAAAGTCTGAGTGCCAAGGACCTCATATTATGTCTGTCAATAATGTTACATCACCCATTATAACAATTTTCTTTCCTTTTTCTCTTCTCTTAACTGAATAGTCCTATCTTTAAGTATAACAATGTAAAGTCCTTTTCCTGCACCATTTTAAGGCTTCAAAACAGGCATTTTTACTGTGTTTGGAGAAATGACACAATCAATGGCCCAGAATTGTACTTTATAAACTCTGAATCTTGTGGTGCTTGAAGAAATACAGACTGGCTAAGCCGGCCAGGTTATATATGCCTTTTTTGGAGCCCTTTTTTGCAATATTTATTAAAATGTCACTTGTTATTTAAACAAACCACGATCTGAGGATAATACAAGCAACCATAAAACACCCTTTACTAGAGCCATTGAAGCCCAAGAAGAATTTATTTTTCCACAAATCTTTTCAACTGCTGTAAGTTAGGGCACTCTCTGTGCAGAGCACTACAAATATTCTTCATTTGCAGTATTTTTTTTAAAAAGTGTTCAGAAAGGAATGTATTGGTTTTAAAAGAATGTAGTAAAAGGTAAAACAAATGCCTCCAAAATGTAGAAAAGTATAAGTAGCAAAAATATATAATATAAATATAACATAACAACATAAACAAGTAGAGTACATTGAAAGTATTTTAAATACACACGTGCAAGCATTTAAACATATAGCAAAAAGACAAATTGAAATAAAGTATCTGACTCACATTTGCAGTCTTCCTCTTTCATGGGGATGTCGAAACTGCACTTGCTTCTTTGAAAGTCATTTTGTTTGTGTTGACATAAGTATTGTTGTTGTTCTTTGAAAGGTTGTTTGTAGACAAGTCATCGTCCCTTTCCCTTGCTGCTAGCTTAGCACGTTAGCTGCATTCGCCACACAGGTTAAACTGAAACTAGCACACTTTACTCTAACTAAAAACTAATGGTTGTTTAATTTAACTAACTTTTCCGAAGTTTGTGGTTTGATAGGCTTTTTAAAATGTTTCTTTGTTTCTTCTCCAGCGACGTGTCGAAGTGGCCTTACAGACGGGTTGTTCCTCACGTGCTAATTAACTGTTTCTTAATTAACAACAACGATTTGCACCTGGTGTGTATTTCGATAGGGTGTAATGCCCCCGTTTGACACGCGCTGTTTCACTCGTTTGAGGGAATCTGGCAAAAGAAAAAGACAAGTTTAAAAGTCAAATGCAATTATTACATTAAAAACAATGTTTGTTTTGTTTTGTTTCTTATTTTTTCCAGATTTGTGGATTTTTATGTAGTTATTTTATGTATTTAAGTGTTTATTTTGTAATTAATGCTTTATTTGTTATCAAAATAATTTCTTAAAATGCAATTAAAATGATATTTTATTTAAATACCTCAATGGATTATCTTAAAAGGAAGACAATAATGGGAATAGGGTTAAACATTAAACTAAATATTCATGAAACTTCCTTGGTTTATTACTTACATTTTCTGTATACCAGGTTTTCTGAAATATTAACTTCATGTATGCAAATGAGGCTTGATGTTATTAAATAAGTGGATATTACAGACATTTTCAGCACAGAAATGTACTAGTTTGAAATGTTGTTTCATTTTGTTGTCATATTAAAGTACAAGGAATTTGGATATACTTGTATCACTCAAACACAAATAAATGCAGGCTATATTACATGTACAGTAAAACCCTTCAGAATATATGTATTGTGTGGTCAGTACTACCGAAGTGTAGATTTGAAAAAGAAATCAACATGAAACTCACCCAGTTGCGTACTAACATAAACTAAATGATTGACCTGCATGATAAAAGATTCTTCGGGATTTGATTCCACATTTTATTCACAGACAAATGGGCAAAATAAATAGACAGGGGTGATTCTTCTCATTGTAACTACTGCTATATCCTTCATCACCATCACATTTAAACACACTTCAGTCACTTTCAGTTAAATACATAAGTTAATAATTGACATACTGTATTACATAGCTTGCATACGTGTTGTTTCTTATTTAATCAACATTTCCAGGTGACATTTAAAGCCTTATAAATATTTAAAGCAAAGAAAATGTTTTTCTCCACAAGGCAGGTCTCCTGACGTTACAGCGTGATCAACAAGGTCCAGTAGAAAATAAGTAGTGTTACAAATCAAAACCAGGCGATAAGAGTAAAAACACAATCACAAATATAAAAAAATCATTCTAGTCAGTTTCATATTGACATCATAAAAATCAAGAACATTTTCCAGTGTTGTATTGCTTGGACTTCGGTCTTGAAGCAGAGAGAGAAACGAGCCGACTCTCCGTTTGTTTCACAGATAAACTTAAAATTAACTTTGATTGTTTCTGTCTTACAAGGCTCTCTTTTCCTACGCAGATACATACCTCAGAATTACTTCAGTGCAGTACTTGATTGTTACTTTCTGATCATCATTATATAGACGTCCACAGTAGGTCCATACGTTTCGAACAAGTTAAACACATTTTAAACCCAAAGTCCTGACTTCTTTTACACGTAAAACATATTCCAAGAAGTGGAAGAACAGCAGAATAACAGATCCTGTGTCCATGTCACTGGGTTTAAAAACTTAGTAAAATACAAACCTTAAAAATAACAACACCAGGAATGTGCATATCCAGTGAAGCAATGCAGTGGATCCCTAAAATATAATAGTAGTCGGTTGCAAAAAGCATAATTTTAACAACAATAAAAAAACCTTAATCTCATCCTGTCAGTTACAGGTGCTGGTAAATGTAGTTTTATTTTAAAATGTAGTACCCCCCTACGATGTTTAATTAATATAACAAAGAAACCAGCTTTATAGTTAGTCAGAATCAAGAGCATATATCATAAAACATTTTAAATTGAAATGAAATCGCTGCCAATGAAATGAGGAGTGTGGTTTTAATCTGTGAAATGAATAAACCCACGTAGCGTTATTATACTGTTCTGGGTATGGTGAAATGTCCGACTTAATATCAAATCAGCACAAGAGGAATTCAAGATAAATACACAAGTAGATAATAAAAAGGTTTGTTTGTCAGTGCTCCAAAAAAGGCTGTTTAAAAAGAGTGGGACAGGAAGTGATGTCATCGTGCCTACCAGCTAATTTGGCTTCACAGCTTTACGGTCAGTGAGGATGGCTTTGCTGATTTTTCTGGCAGACTTTTTCCTCTCTTGGTCCACAGTTTGGTACAAAGGTCACTGTGAAGGTCAGAGGAAGAGGGAACAGGTTTTAAGGAAAGGTCATTTTAGAGTCTGTGACGATCAGAGGTTCGTCTCGTCCCAGGTCGGGTCGTCCATGCTCTTCAGGACTCTCCGCACGACTTTCTCCAGCTCCTTCCTCGCTCGCTGCTCCTCCTCCAGCGTCCTCTTCATCCTCTTGTTGTCCTGCAGGAGGGAGACAGAAAATGAGTAAATATTTAAGGCTATTTCTTTGGCATCAATAGTAACTTTTAGCATCTATTTATGAACACACAGTTAAATCCAAATGTTTGTAGTTTTGTATATTTAAATGTTGAAGTCTGTCAAGTGTGTAAATATGTACAATGACATTTAATTTGATTATTGCAGTGCATTATCATTGCTGCTACCTCTGCTAGTGTCTATTTGTATTACTGCAGTGAGAGATGCATTTTCCTAAACACCTCGTGGGATCACCTTTAAATAAAACCTTTTATGCATACTTGGACCTAGTTTGAACCTTATAAAAAGAGACAATTGAACAGTAAATGGATAATAATGAGGGTTAGTATAGTAATACATGTTTTTAAAAAGCTGCAGACTCACCTGTTTGAGTCCCTGGACCTCGTCTTTCAGGCTGTACACCGTGTCCACCAGACTCCTGCAGGAACACAACAAGCTTTACTTTAACATATTCAAAACAATGTTTGTGTCTCTGTGGCTTTCTCATATATTGTGTGTGTGTAATTTGTCTTCTGACACTTGGTCACTGGTACATGCTATGAATGCCGACAGGTTTTATTTGATATCTGGTATACTGTTGTAATCAGATTTATGTTTTCAGTATCCACTATTTTCCATATTTGTGTTTTTGCATCCTTTTTTGATTCTGCAGCAGTTCTTTGTCGCTCAAGGGGATGCTTTTAAAGCCCACCATATCTATGTTAGCAAACAGTAAGTATGTTGTGCATAAAAACACAGCTTCATCCCTAGTTCTCACCTCTCCTCCACCACAGTTTGTCCGTTGCTCCTGGTCTCCTCCACTATAATCTTCTCTTCCTCCGGGAACAACATGTGTACATCCTTCTTGCTGGACCCTGATTGAACATTGACAGGGTAAGTTATTAAAACACATACACAAAAACATAAACTCTACTATGGGATATTTGCTTGATGAAGCTACTGTATACTCTTGAGGATGCACACAGGTTCAAACACAAAGACACGAACACACAGCAGGTGAAAGGTTGGGGAAGATCTATAGTAGTTTGTCAGCATGTCAGTGGTTTTGCGACACCGATATCTTACGAGAAAATGAGGCAGTCCTGTAACTATGGGCGTTCCAGAGACTGTCATAATCCGAGTCCTCTGATTGGTCAGAACAAGGCGGGTTGCCGGGGATACCAGCGACGGTGAGGCTGGTGTCCGCGAGCACATGGTTGTGCATGAGGTCAGTCCCTTGCCAGGCTGTACCACAACGTAACCAGCGAAGGATGGGGTTGGAACAAACCAAATGTCATGTTGGGGGGATAAGGGGAGGAGGATAAACCATATTGGATAAAGGAGAGGGTTTGGGGTAAACCAAATGCAACCACAAATGAAAGGAGAACGGATTATAGGGGATGAAGGATTTAAAAACAATAGTTTCAGAAATAAAGAAAAACAAAAAACAAACGGATATGGAGGAAGTAATTAGGTCAGGTAATCAGAGGAAGGGAAGACATAAGAAGAGAGGAGAGAGAAAACATTGTTAGAGCTGACAGAAGAGAACAAACGGTGGTTAGCAATCAAACAGATAGCAGTGTGAGAGTATGCCGGTGTGGTGTGTGTGTGTGTGTGTGTGTGTGTGTGTGTGTGTGTGTGTGTGTGTGTGTGTGTGTGTGTGTGTGTGTGTGTGTGTGTGTGTGTGTGTGTGGTGTGTGTGTGTGTGTGTGTGTGTGTGTGTGTGTGTGTGCTCACTGGAGTTGAGAGTGGCTCGTGTCTTGGCGCTGGTGCAGTAAGCTTCGATGACCTTCAGGATCTGAGCGTCCTCCTCTAGAGCTGCTGTACCTGAGAGAGAGAAGGACAGGTGAGACGATGGAGAAAAGACAGTGTTAGTGTTCCTTAAATACTCCATACACAGCTGTAACTGTAACAACTCAACAGGGAGGAATATATTAAGGATGTTTTGTGGATTCTCTCAAGGTAACACAAAGCCTGTGTAGACGGCAGTAGTGTAAACCTATCATGTTGCACCCAGAAACATTTTTTTTCCATTGTGAGAATTTAGTATTTATTCCGTTGCATACTCACTTTTTCTGACAGTAAAGTCCTCCTCTGAAGGTTTCCTCTCCGGCTTCCTCTTAGGGAGCAGCTTCTTCATGTTCTTAGGACTCTTACTCATATCCTACAAACAAAAACACAGACAAATGTAACACAAAAGGACCCAGAGATGTATAAATATTCCGACTTTTAACAACACATTTGTATATACGCCAGTGTACAGCACCTCCTTGGAGCAGAGAGCAGCTGAGGGTCTGAGTGGAGGAGCAGGGCGGAGGCAGCTCAGGCTCCAGGGTTTAGGGGTACTCGGCGGCTCCAGGGGCCCCCACATCGGGCTGCTGTTGAGGTTCATCCCAAATGAAGGGGTATGGGGAAGGGTGTGGTAGTTGTGTCCGACGCTTCCTCCACGAGACTCCGAGTGTCTGGAGGGAGTGGCGGGAAGAGAGGGCAGCTGGGAGATGAAATGGAGAGGTTATAGAATATAGGAACATATGGCACGTTGGTGTTAATTTACAACTGTTGTGAAAAGATACTGTTAATGTAGACTCACTGTGTGACAGACGGACTGATGCTTGAGCGAGTTAGTGTGTGAGGCAGGAGTGTGTGTGTGTTTGGTGAGGAGGTCCAGCCAGTCCTGAAGTTCACGCTGAGTGTTACACGCCACCTGCATCCGATCACCCTGAGCACCTGAACAATAATAACACATAAAAACAAATGTTAAAATGTACAGACAAACAGGCAGTGGTCATAAGTGAAAACACGCTCAAATTAGACTGATCTTGTCTTATCCCGTTTGTCTCAAAAGACTGTATTTTGCTTGAATATTGAACTGGTCTAAAGTCTTAGGTGCATGAGCAGAATGAGAGAAAGGGCTGACCGGAGATTTCAAAAGCATTCTTCAGGTTTTCTCCGTCTTCTATTCTGGAGATGAGCATCCCTGACAGTGACATCTTCCCCTATAGAAACACACAATGTGTTAAACCACATGTTGTATGCTTTTAGACATCATTAAGGTTAAATCAGATGTGCTGTTACGTACCTGGAAGATGAATCCACTCATCCTGAGGCTGGCAGAGAGCACGAGCAGAGTGTGAGGAAAGAGGACAAGGTAGCGTTCGTTTGACTCCTGGAAAGCAAAACAAAAATACCTTTGAACTGTGTTTTCACGGTCACTTGAACTCAACAGTGGTGTGTGTTCATTATGGGTCTAAATGCAACATCAGGGTAGGGTCACATGACATATGTTTGTGTGAGTAAGTCAGTGTGAGTACCTGGCAGTTCTGCGTGTGGACGGTGCACTGCGACATGTGTTGAACCGGACCCAGAGAACGAATGTCATCACCCTCCCAGTTTCTGATTGGCTCCGTTAAAATCTGCAACTCCAGGTCTTTCTTTTTCCTCACATTCTGGCAGTGAGCCTGAAGACACACACACACACACACACACACACACACACACACACACACACACACACACACACACCGGAAACGAAAGGATATTAATATTGCAAGTGTAAGTAAAGACATATACACATATCCAAACAACTAAACGAATCAGTCACAAGTTAGATCCTTCTAATTATAACTGTATATAATGTGTATGTGTGTCTGGATCGTACCGCAAAGTTTTTAAAGGCAGTTATCGCCGTAATGAGATCAGCTCTGTCAGGGTGTTGATCCTAACACAATGGGGAAAAAACATAGAAACACAATGAAAAGTTAATTTACAAAATCGAGCATTGACATAAAATGCAGGCACGTTCTTGTGGAAGAAACAAATAAACATTGTTTGTTGTTTAATATAAATCTGTTTAAGAATTAAAGACACATCAGTGGTTTCGCTAACCTCCATGTGTCGGTCCAGTTCTTTCAGCAGCGTGGGGTATCTCTCCAGTCTGGTGAAGGGTTTACTCAGGTTAGTGGTCAGGGTCAGGATCCCTGGAGAGGACGCCCCCTTCGACTCCATGTATTCCCCAGATCCTCACTGTGATGCACACACACACACACACACACACACACACACACACACACACACACACACACACACACACACACACACACACACACACACACACACACACACACACACACACACACACACACACACACACACACACACACACACACACACAGTCAGAGATGGCAAAAGTGCACACCTCCTTTACTCAAGTAGAAGTACAGATACTCGTGTTTAAAAATACTGACTAAACTTCTTTACTCAAGTAAAAGTAAAGAGGCTTTGAAATGTACTTCAGTAAAAAGTACCCATAACTAGCAGCTGTTTTAAAGAGTACCTGACCTCCCTTTATATTAATAGAACAATAATGTCATTGTTAGCTAATGAATGTTTCCATGCTGAACAACGGCAACATGACAACGTTTCCATTGGTCCCTCTTCTTTAGAGAAGACCAGGAAATGATGGATACACGGATCGTGTTCAAATCAATAGGCACGCAATGACTCTAAAGAATAATGATCACGCATCAAACACACATTCAGACTAAAGAAACCAGCTGTTTGGGAAATGAGAGAAGTAGAAAGTACAGGTATTTGTGTTCAACATGTAAGAAGTAGAAAGTACAGGTATTTGAGTTCAACATGTAAGAAGTAGAAAGTACAGGTATTTGTGTTCAACATGTAAGAAGTAGAAAGTACAGGTATTTGAGTTCAACATGTAAGAAGTAGAAAGTACAGGTATTTGTGTTCAACATGTGAGAAGTAGAAAGTACAGGTATTTGTGTTCAATATGTGAGAAGTAGAAAGTACAGGTATTTGTGTTCAACATGTAAGAAGTAGAAAGTACAGGTATTTGTGTTCAACATGTAAGAAGTAGAAAGTACAGGTATTTGAGTTCAACATGTAAGAAGTAGAAAGTACAGGTATTGTGTTCAACATGTGAGAAGTAGAAAGTACAGGTATTTGTGTTCAATATGTGAGAAGTAGAAAGTACAGGTATTTGTGTTCAATATGTGAGAAGTAGAAAGTACAGGTATTTGTGTTCAACATGTAAGAAGTAGAAAGTACAGGTATTTGTGTTCAACATGTAAGAAGTAGAAAGTACAGGTATTTGAGTTCAACATGTAAGAAGTAGAAAGTACAGGTATTTGTGTTCAACATGTGAGAAGTAGAAAGTACAGGTATTTGGGTTCAACATGTAAGAAGTAGAAAGTACAGGTAGTTGGGTTCAACATGTAAGAAGTAGAAAGTACAGGTATTTGAGTTCAACATGTAAGAAGTAGAAAGTACAGGTATTTGGGTTCAACATGTAAGAAGTAGAAAGTACAGGTATTTGAGTTCAACATGTAAGAAGTAGAAAGTACAGGTATTTGTGTTCAACATGTAAGAAGTAGAAAGTACAGGTATTTGTGTTCAACATGTAAGAAGTAGAAAGTACAGGTATTTGAGTTCAACATGTAAGAAGTAGAAAGTACAGGTATTTGTGTTCAACATGTAAGAAGTAGAAAGTACAGGTATTTGTGTTCAACATATAAGAAGAAGAAAGTACAGGTATTTGTGTTCAACATGTAAGAAGTAGAAAGTACAGGTATTTGTGTTCAACATGTAAGAAGTAGAAAGTACAGGTATTTGTGTTCAACATATAAGAAGTAGAAAGTACAGGTATTTGAGTTCAACATGTAAGAAGTAGAAAGTACAGGTATTTGTGTTCAACATGTAAGAAGTAGAAAGTAAACAGTAAATACAAAACACAAGAAGAAATGCATGCACCCCTGAGTGTATCTCTGAGTGTACCTGTGCTGAGTGAGGACACTGACAGCAGACGGGTGGTTGGAGCAGTAAGCCACATAAATGATCTTCATCTGGGGCATCATGTTCAGGAAGAAGCCCCCGATCCTCTGCTGGTTCTCCGGGAGTCTAAACACACACATGTCATGTTCAAATGAATAAGAACTGCCCCTGATGAACAGATGATAATTATGAGGTGACACTCATAATTCAAAATATGTGTTATACTTAATTTAATACTGAGCAAACGTCATATACATTAGACAGAAAGGGCTCAGACAATCACGTTGTTACTTCAGTCTACCACCAGATGTCTCTGTAGCTTTAATAACTGCAATATTAGGTTGAGACGAAGCTGGAGGATGCATTGTGTTGAGTAAAACAGCATGCTAGTGTTTTACATACTTGAAACTAAACAACACCACTCTGAAACTGATAGAAATCCCAATAAATACAATACAATTATTGGCCAGATATCATATTTTGACTCATTTGAGTAGCATCTATATCAGAAAGTAGATGGGGGACCACTGACTTGGTATGGTCCTCTAAGGACTGAACCAACATCTGCTGGAAGGTAGAGATCTCCTCCAGATTTCCATGAATGTGACTGATGTCAAGACTGCTGAGTCTGCAGAGGAGAGGAGAGATGAGTCAGTCATTATTTAATATACAGAATATTGTATAAAAACAGTGAAACCCAGGCTCATCAATTCATGACGATCTCTGACATTTGTAATAAAAGGCTGGTATAAATAACTTACTATGTTTGCAAAGCAATATATATGGATATAGTCCAGTTATTCCAAAGCAGTGTGATGTTTACACAATAGGATGCTGTGGTGCTGTATATAACATCCAGTATGCATAAAATATACAGTATGTGCGTGTTCTTATATACGGTTAATTTGACGTATTAAAATAGTGTTGCTGGCGTGTGCACGGCTTCCTTTAAGATCTCAGTCTGTTGAATAAAACAATAACAAGGGTCAAAATAACTGTACTTGTCTGTGGGGTGAAGGGATCGCAGGTATGAACCCAGGAGACTCTGCAGCTCCCGCGAATATTCAGTCTCTGCTTCCAGGATGTTCTGGAGGACCTGACAGAGACACAGATACACAAAAACAGAGATACTATTACATTAAATACAGTAAGTAATATACTGAATAAGTAAGGGAAAGATATATGATAGCAGTTTCAAAATGAAATCTCAATACAGTGTGCTTTTAGCCATAGAAATCCCATCAAATATATCTAATAGATACAACATTTGTTTTTTGTGCAGCAGATATGACTTCAAGCCCTTTTGGAAATCTGTGCGGATCACGTTTCATTACTTCCTAACGTCTAATAAACCAGACAATTCATATTATTAGTTAAGAAAATAATTGGTTGATAAAGGACTGGTTGCAACCGAGTACAACAAGAGCAAATAGATCACTGCAGACAACGAAATAACCCATTACATTGAAAATACATGATTCAAATGTAATATTTCCCTCAAATGATCCTTTTTAGTTTTCATTACAGCTGAATATATTCATCTTTTAGAGTATTAAGGCCAAGTGGGAAAACAAACCTGTTTTACTCATCTTTTGCTGCTTATTTCAATAAAATGTGGGTTCTTTCCAGCTAGGGCAAAATAAAAACTGTCCACTTGTAAATAGAGGATGTATTTCGTAATAAGCTAATGGAGAGATATCAGACCCTATGGGACATGTAACACTGGCTTGAGTAGCCTTTAATGGGTCTGACTTCTCGGGGTAAATCTCTCCACAACATCACAACCTCTGAGGAATGAGGCTTCGGGTAATTCATTGTTGCATGTTCCTGAGGTCTGCAAGTAATACAATTATGATAAAGCAGGTCAAATTAATTGATATAAATCCCTTTTTTGTGTGTGTAAAAGAAGTAGAGGATGCTAGTAAATGCATCGGGAATGAGAACACCAGCTAGCTGCACAAATGCACTCAAATAAAAAGGCCTAAAACGTGCATTATACCCATTTCTGTTCTGTCCATGAGCAGAAAGACAGGCAGGTTTTTATTTATATCTTCTTTTGCTGAATTTCTGTCTGGGAACAGCTTTGACTGCAGGCAGTGTCTGTGAGGAAGAGGCTCGGGTACCATAACCACAGATGGACTGTCTAAAGAGCCTATCGCTGCTTCTTGCATTATTAAAAACACACACACACACACACACACACACACACACACACACACAGGCAGGAGCCAACCCTGAGGCAAGGCTGTCCCAGAAACCAGTGGGCTGGAAGAAATAACCTACATTTCGTCTTTCGCTGCAGCCTCACATGCAGCCTCCACACATCATGCATATACAGACAGACACAGACATTAATTACAATGTGCGGATGAAAAATAATTGATTTAATAAAAGCAGACACACGTGCAAGAACTATCCGATAGATATGCTCATTCAGGGAGCGAGAGAACGCTAAAATAGGAGATATTTATATAATTATCTCATTACCCAGAAATCCACATATATCCTGCCTAATTTATATTAAAAAGCATAATTATAGTCCCATCCCTAAGCTATTCTAGTAGAAATTAGATCGGGAATATTGTGTTCTTCTTCCCATGACTGCGAGAACATGTTATACAAGAAAAGGGATATTTTTTGCAGACACACACTTATTAGAGTTTGATGCTCACCACATTGTAGTACGTCTTACTGATGATGGTGGTGTCAAAACCTTTGGGGGGGCTTTTCAGTGTCCCAGACTTTGGCTTTTCTAATGTCTTGTCTATAAAGAGAGAAAGAAGGAGAGAAAACGTCATTTCAACATCCTGGTTATTTCCAACCTTGTAAGGTCTATAATAGCCCATGCTGTCATATCCTTCAGTTCACTATTGTCCTCTGGAGGCATTGCAATTTAAAGCCAGATGAATAACGATTGTTTGTTGGGTAATAGGAGGTATAATGTACTCGTATCTGATTGACCAGAAAAAGGTTTCTTTGCTTAGCTTTCCTTATGATTGTTAGCCTGATCTTGGTTTTGGATCAGAAACAAAGGAAGGTCTAATGACTGCAATAAAGCTTCTTTTGTCTATGTCTCATAATAATGATTTATGTCAGTAAACCAAGACAAAAGCCACGTGCAGACCTCCAATTAAACAATGTCTGCTTCACAAACAACCATCATGAGTTTACTCTCTCACATATACAGATGTTTTCTACTACATATGCATTCAGTGTGCTGTAATCATGGTCCTTGCTTTAAGTCAGGAAGTTCCTTTCTATACAGCGGCTCTGGCTCTTCCTGTCTTTGTCTCGCTTCCTTCCTCTTGTCCTGCCTTCCCTCCTCAGAAAAGCAACACAATCAAACCACCACGATGTCTCTTACAAGCACAGCTTTACAGCCTCATGAACTCAACAGTGCTTAGTCAGAAATGCAGATTCAATATGTTTCTTAAGAGACTTGAATAAGAACATCACCTTGCCGAAAGTGCTCTCTGTTTAGACTTGACAACAAGAAAATACAGAGCAATTAGAAAGGTCGTAAGGTATTGTGAGTAAAGGCAGAACTGTAGTAAGTGTGTTCATTTGTGTGTGTTTGATTTCTTGCACTGCTTTGAGAAAATGTTTCAAATTTAAATCTCATATTAGAAGGTTTGACTAAAATAATTATTTGACGGCAAATGTAATTAAACCTGCAATATAGTGGAGTGGTAATGAGTCTTGAATTAAGAAATAAGTCAGCATTTTAACGCTGGGCTTCTTCCTCTCAAAGTCAATGGTTTTTTAATGTGTTCGCAACTTGTTGTCATAAATGTTGGACCTACTGTATTTGTGAAAAACTGGAAAGAAAAAATGTTAACAAATGGCGTATATGTAAGAACAGCTTCTAGCCACCTCCCTGTAAAAGATGCACATCATGTGAAACAATGAGAGCTGCACCCACCGCCTCCCTTCAGCTCCCGCACATAGTTACTGGGGAACCACCCGGACTGGCCGTTGCAGGACCCTTCCCACCAGCCCCCGTCATCCTGTCGGATCACAGAGACGATGTCGCCCTTGGAGAAGGAGAGCTCGTCCTCATTGGTCTGCTCGAAAGCAAAGCGCGCCTTGAACAGCGAGTGGCCACACCCGCTGCCCTCGGACATGTCCTGAGGGAGAGGAGAGGAATGAAGACTGAGCTGAATGAATCTGTGCTGGATGATGTTGGGAAATACTGAATGTCCTCTTCCAACATGAGAGTAACATGATAACAAAGCTATCCCAACTGTAGCTGTGAACATGACAGGATGTGTGATTACCTAGAAGAGCATCAGGACTGTTTGAGGCAGATGATAGCTATGTGATTAACATGATGATTCAGCCTCTATGGAGATAGACATATGACAAGCTTACTCATTTCTGACGTGGAGCTAATCTGAAGTAAACATTGAATACTGCTTTCTATTCCTCCACCTTGTGACTGTGTAACTCCCTCTCTTGGATATCAGCATGTGAAGGACACTGTTCAGGAACTAGTTGATGCTCTGTATGTGATGACTACTTCCATTCTGGAGAGGATCACAGATACATGGATCCTGAGGTTGAAGCTCAAGCCGGGGACGAGAGATATTTTGCTAACAGATGACGACAACAACATCTCGTGATCTCTCTTCATTCCCCGATGTCATGGTAACTCACCAGGCTGCGGTACTGAGGCTGCAGCGCTTTGGACGAGCGACTCGTGTTCAGAGAGTCGAACGACTTGATCCTCAGGTGAGACGAGAGCGGCACACACTCGCTGTCCTCGGAAACACTCAGATCTGCAAAGAGAGGTTCAATATGAGGGCAAGGTAATCTGTTAGAATATCTTTCAGTAACAATGAACCCTGGTCAGATGATGAAACGAACAATGAACCTAAAGAGCATTTATTAGGGCCTGAGCTTCACAGAGTCGGAGCGAAGACCTACTGAAATCCTTGTGATTATTTTTCTTTTTTTTCTACCAAATGAATTGCATTTTTTAGGGCCTGAGCTGATTTTTCGCACACTTGTCTCCAGGTCTTCTTTAGATAATACTCAGCATACATATTTAAACTTATAAAACACCTTTACATGGAACGTGTGCCTTAAAAAATACACAATATACAGATAAACCCAATGATCTCACCTTCAGTAGCTTTGTTGAGGGCAACCAAGCAGTTTAGGACTTTAGTGAAGTTCTGTCCTTGCAGGAGGTCATTTACCTCAAAAGGCTAGAGGAGAACAAACAAATAAAGAATTCAAATTACGATAGGAAATAGTAATAAAGTAAAGAGGATTTCTTCTCCTCGTCAAAACCCTAATTTCTCTTGTTCTCATTAGGAGTTGCATAATGAAAACAAACATCAGCGTAGAAACTGAAGAAATGCTGTGTTGAGTGGGCGGGGTTACGTCTCTGCTCCAACTGCAGTCTGCAGCGGGATTACTCAACGTCTGAGCTTCCCCTTGTAATCTCCCCATCACACACACACACACACACACACACACACACACACACACACACACACACACACAGCCATAATCAGAATACCTCTGAACCCCCTAATCTTGTGTATAGTACACACTGAGTGGCTTCTACATTCTCAGGGCGTGAAGGTGGAGTCAGCTCTGAAATAACCTCATTAAAAAACTCTATATTGGTGAAAATTAAATGGCTAATGCTGAGAGAAAAAGACTAAGATTGGGTCTGTTTAATCAAATAATGAAACCACACAGTGCTTTAATGGAGTCCTGCTTTTAGGAATGCACTCGGTGTGATTTATGTACACAGGCTGATTAGTAGTCAGCACAGTATGGACTCAAACACACTTTCATCTCTCCGCCGGCATCGCGCCAAATACATTATGAGGCTTTTTATACTGCAGTGTGAATGTCCCAGTGCTAAGGTTGCATTGATACACATAGTTAGTATTTCACCGAAGCTTTTACAGTTATATTATGTATTAATGGGCATGATAAAGACTGCTTGGAAACACATGACAATGACAGTGAGCAATGAGCAATGACAGCTCCTTAAGACGGAGGACATCTCATCTTTTACAGAGCAGTATTCATTCCTAATCAAACATTATGTATCACGATTAGCTGCACTTGGTTGTTTTAAAAGAGAACTGTCTCTATTGGAAAAAGTAAACCCTTATACAACGTTATCAAAAATTAAGCGTTTTTATTAAATGAGAGTTTCAATTTAACATGCCAGCAACAATAAGCCACTAAATTAATGATCTTAATAACACCAATTGCAGGTATGTTTATCTTGCAGATTGTAGTACAAATACTCTCTATCATGCAGCTGTTAACAGCAGACACATCTTAAAAAGAAACGCCTGTGATTGGCTTACCTGAAAACAGGGAGCGCTTGATTTAATGCAGCAGAGATGGCACAAATTAATCAATACCCCCCCCCCCCCCCCCCCCCCCGATTAGGTTTAATTAGCCCAAGAAGCCAGATTAATGATCTGATTAGAGTCAGATCTCAACCACAGAGGCGTGTGTTGTCCATTCTGTAATCCCGCTCTGTTCCTCCTCTGTCTGTCCGGTGAGTGTCTGGAAGAATTACTACGCTGCCGTAATGTCCAGCAACATGGCTGACATGCCTCTAATCAACGTGTTGCATTACGTCACCAACCCTCCTCTCCCCAAATTCATTGACTTCTACTCCACTACAATTCAGGAGAAATTGTGTACTTACTCCACTACATTCATTTAATCCCTTTAGTTGATTTACAGATTTGGATGAATGATGTGAAATATAATCAATCACACTTTAGTTCCACCTGGAGTAAATTCACCAGCTACCCTGCAGTATACAAAGTCCTTCAAACTAGCTGCACCTTTACCAGCTTTGAGAACACTTTCATGATCAATCATTATAAAACATATCATATATATTATTCTGAAATGGACCAATCTGCACAACGACTACTTTTACTGTCGCTACTTTCACTATATTTTGATGAGAATACTTTTGTACTTTTATTTGAGGAACATTTTGAATGCAGGATTGTTTCTACATTCTGGTACTTCTACTTTTACTCAAGTACAAGACCTGAGTACTTCTACTTTTACTCAAGTACAAGACCTGAGTACTTCTACTTTTACTCAAGTACAAGATCTGAGTACTTCTACTTTCACTCTAGTACAATATCTGAGTACTTCTACTTTTACTCAAGTACAAGACCTGAGTACTTCTACTTTTACTCAAGTACAAGATCTGAGTACTTCTACTATTACTCAAGTACAACATCTGAGTACTTCTACTATTACTCAAGTACAAGATCTGAGTACTTCTACTTTTACTCAAGTACAAGATCTGAGTACTTCTACTATTACTCAAGTACAACATCTGAGTACTTCTACTATTACTCAAGTATAAGATCTGAGTACTTCTACTTTTACTCAAGTACAAGATCTGAGTACTTCTACTTTTACTCAAGTACAAGATCTGAGTACTTCTACTTTGACTCAAGTACAAGATCTGAGTAATTCTACTTTTACTCAAGTACAACATCTGAGTACTTCTCCCACCCCTGATTATTATTGACTGGACATACAAATCATTTCCCAAGACTGGAGCAAAACCTTATAATAGATCCACAGCCGGGACTCCCGTGTTGCATGCTTTCCCATAATGATTACATGGCTTTTTCCATGGCGGACGTCAATAGTGTGTGAGTCAGAGAGTGTGTGTGGTGGCATTTTTTACCACACAACTCACCAGCCCTGTCCACACACCCTCTGTGGGGGCAGGATATAACCTGGCTGGAAACACTGTTGTGCAAACACACAGATACATGCACACACCCCATCATGCTTTTGAGCTCTGATTACAATACAGATTGATTTTGGGGTAAACTTGCCAGCACCAATTAAATGAGTATGTTCAACTTTCTGATAAATACGTCTGCCTTGTTTACCAAATGTTAGCTTTGGAATACTTATCAGCTAAATCATGGCACTATTAAATTGTAAAAAGCAAGTTCTGAGTGACCTATTTGAGGAATCACAAGCATGTTTGTCCGCAAGTTGAGCGTAATGAAATAGTACATACTACTTTGTAAAGAGTTGGGTACTGATGCAATGTTTGAAATAATAACAAGTATTTCTCATGACAGCAATGATAACGGAAAATGAGGGAAATAGAAATAGAGCAGTGTACATTTCAAGATAGTTCCCTGACAAAACATCCAACATCGATGTAACGTTTCTGGTTCATTCTGAAACTAGTTTTGTAAGTTGCAAAATCAAGACACAAGCACACATCCTACTACAGTATAGGTTGTGATTCATTAGAACAAAACAGATCTAAATGTGAAGAATTAGTACATGATTTACTACCATTAATCAGTTCCAACTTATAAACCCTAAATAAACGGTGACTTGTGCGAAGGAAGAACCAGAAAACTCCACTGGCTTACATCAGTTTCTCTATTTTTCTAGTATTTACCATTATATCAATGTGGTAGCACTTTGAATGGCTCAAATATGTGAATCTAAAATTCTAATTAACTACACAGAGACACATTATTAGAATACATTGGTTTATTTTCGAGGAATATCCCAAAAATAAATCCTCCTCACATTTATATTTACTCATTAATTACACATTTCCAGGTTGGAAATTTCATCACCTGTTGCTCCTGACGTCCCCAAGAGTAACGTACATAGAAACAAAACACTGAAAAACAGCAGGATACATAACTTTTAAAAGGCTGTATACGTGTGTACGTATGCAGTGTGTTTTCTCGGATTAGTACTGTGTAATTGTGCATTAATTAATACATTATTGACATGTTTACTCACCTCCACTCCGAAAGCCCCGCAGCCTTTAATAAACTCGCTGATGTTTTTCTGACACTCGCTGTCTCCTCTCGGCTCCTGGAAAAACTACACACAAAAAGTGACTAAATTAGCTTTAAATACTCCTACAAATTAATAATAAACATTTAATTAAAGTGTTAAGGTTCCTTCTGAATTAAAACAATCGTATTTCAGGCGTTGCTAGTGCACTTGCCACTTGATGCTCACCAGAATCAAGGTAGCTAAATGTAAGCTGAACTTCCGGTTTCAACTTTCAAATTAAAATGTTAATTGAATGTATTGTTCCTGCTGTGTTGAAAATGTTGTGTATCTGGCCAAATTGAATTAATAAAACAACTCATATATATTTAAACATTGAAATACAATGTGATACTCTCAAAATGAGTGCCAAAGAAAATAGTATAGGTGGCGACTTAGAGAAGCTAAAACGTTTTATGTTTTTATTTTGAAACAAGCAGCTCCTCACTCTGTTTAACTAACACGGAAGATGGATAAGGGATAAACCAAAGCAGGATATGACGTTGACAGGTTCATGGTCCATTGTGTGCGTGTGTGTGTGTGTGTGTGTGTGTGTGTGGTGTGTGTGTGTGGTGTGTGTGTGTGTGTGTGTGTGTGTGTGTGTGTGTGTGTGTGTGTGTGTGTGTGTGTGTGTGTGTGTGTGTGTGTGTGTCTGCAGCATAATATGAGACAATAGCACTAGTACTGTAATTTCTTTGTACAGTAAATTAGGGCTAATTAGTAAGTATAATTAGCCTAGATTTAATAAGTAGTTGTATTCAAGTATTGCAACAATATGTTTTAGTTCCTAGTTTATGCAGGGACCCGAATCCTCTAAGATGTATATATCATATTCAATCCTTATTTTTATTTTTTTGTTTCCTTAAAATGTATATTGGTATATTAAACAATTTGGAAAACAGAAAAAATAGGTCGCGTGTGTGGCCACATGCTGGAGTTATAAGTAATGATACACCAATTTAATATGTAATTTCTCCTCTCTTTTTCCACAACAAACCAGATTTCAAAAATGTTAAAACATATTGGGGATGTTTTATTGCTTATAAACAGACAGTAAATACTCATAATCATAACACTGTTTTGCATCTACTGTTTTCCCCGAGCAGGATGTTCATTATAATTGTGTTTATTCATTAATTATGAATCAGAATCAGAAGCAGGTTTATCACCAGGTAAGTTGACACGTACGAGGAATTTGACTAGGTGTCGTGGTGCATACAAGTAAAACAAACATTTATGAGCTATTTTAAGAACACTATAATAACGTGAAAAAATATAGTAAAATAAAGCAGTATTTACATTGAAATAGAATGGAATACAATATGTGCTGTAAAAAAACAGATATTGTAGATATAGGTTGACATTTCTAATTCATTTATGTTGTTTTCATTATTTCTACGTGTGCTACCCACATGCATGCTTCTGGATAATGTGTTTTTTCCCAGTCTATTCAATGCATGTACTCACTTTGTCCACCGTCCCGGGTCGCAGTCTCTCCAGCAGCCTGCACAGCACCGCTCCATCCTGCAGGGAGGTCTGCAGGAAACCCTCCGGATCAGAGATGCTTTTCTTGGGAGAGTCCAGGACCCCCAGCGTTATGAGCCAGGTCACCGTCTGCTCGGCTGAATTCATGCCTGGAAATAGTCTCTAATGTCAGAAAACAGCAGCAGTGTTATTCCTACTTGTCCGAAATAAGAGAGGATCGGGTCAGCCAGCCCCGCCTAGTCTGCACATTACGGTCAATGCACACTGCGAACACACACTGATGATGCCAAACGGGAAAAAATAAATGTGGAAATGACTATATGATCTCTCTCTCTCTCTGTCTTTCTCTCTCTGAGCGGATGTTGGTATCACCTGCGTGCATGCACAACTGTAGCAGCAGTACCAGAGTAAACAGAGACACTGTGAAACACCACTTCCTTTGATTGTTTTCAAAATAAAAGCTTGTGGACATTTCACTGTTGACTGTCTTTTTAACCAGTTTGTATAATTCATATTGCCTTAAATGTTAAGTGCAATGATAAAGTGTCATGACTGTGAAGCACTTACATACAATATTCAGTTGTTGGTAGTCTAGTGTTTGCATGCATGACTGATCTTTATTAACTTTAGCAGTTTCATATTTCTATGTGAATATATTTGCCCTATTATTTTGAAGACAAAACCATCCAACTTCCGGTTTAACACGTGCTGTTCTGTATGGATTTGACGCAGCTCGTGACAGGACAGTCCATATATGACTAACAGGCTAATTAAACCACTGAAAGACGACGGCACTGTATCTGATAATAAATTATACAATTTTTTTCCAAATAGGTGTAGATTAAATGTATTTCTACATGTATTAGGTCGCTCTATTCCCAGCAAAATGCCATTCAAAAATATCCACATTTAAAATACATGGCTAATTAAGCCACACTGAAATGTAACACTCACTCAAACTATTGTGGATTACACTCGCACATTTAGTATTCACTTTACATGCTGGTAAGATGAGTTGCAAGTACAATTTACTGTAGTCAAATGAGTTAAATATATTCTTAATGCACTAATTTATTCAATATAACCAAACAGCGTGTTAAGTCGATTTTTCCATTTGCCTGCAGGGGCATGACATCATTAATGTATTGAATAAATACCTTTTATCCAATGCAACAAACTGGCCTGTGTCGCCATCTGTAGGAACGTTTGTGTCATATGTTTTGTATAGCAAAGTTGTATACTAAACTGCAGTAACATGTCCTACAATATTGTGTAATATATTAGTAAGTGACACGGCCGGGTAATTAACTCCCATCAAGAAAAACATGAAGACATAATGTAGTATAGTAACAAAAGACGTGTGCAAGGGTCCTTATTAATTATTATTCTAAATTGGTCAGTAATGATGGTGCGTGGGCTTTCTGCACCACATGTTCAGTCACCATACATGTGATATTAGTGCTAAATGCAAAGTGTGCTGTTTTCAGAGGAATGGATTGTATCTACATTGTGCATAACAGGATGTAAGTTCATACGAAAAGTGTCTCTTTGATGTGTGAAGAATCATATGCATAATTCTCGACTCTAGAAACAAACCTGTGTTTTCTGAGGAGGCCACACTTTCCTGACAGTGGTTACTGCTGTCACACATATTCTTTCTACATTCGTGACCCAGTTTGCTAACAGTCAGAATGTGAAGAACAAAACCACTGAGGTCGAATCTGAAAGAAAATAAAGAATTTCCCTTCCATAGCCTCATGGTCACCACAGGGTACATCTCGCTTTCAACAGGTTCAGCTACTGCCAGGCTGCAGCTTTGCATAAATACTTCCTTATTATTATTATTATTATTTTTAATTATATTTAATCTAACTTAAACATACCACTTATATGTACTCATGAATAGCAGTGTTTTGGGCAGAATGCTTAAAGGAGACATATCATGCTCATTTTTAGGTTAATATTCATTCTTTTGTGATTGATTTGAACATATTTACATGTTTTAATGCTCAAAAGACACTTTATTTTTCTCTTACTGTCCGTCTGAATATACCTGGATCAACACTGTCTGAAACATACCGTTTTAACGCCTGTCTCTTATGACATTATTACAATGAATCCTGATGGGGAGTTTAATATCTGTACCAAATGTTACATCCATCTAATAGTTGTGGAAACTCAAAACCAAAAACGTCATGGTAGCAGAAATGATATTGCAAAAGTCAGTATGATTCACTCTCTGATGATCATGAATGTCTGCAACAAATTGTACATGGTTAAAAACCTGTACATTATTAGCTCATGTTGTACTTATATATGTTGTAATAATAGTGTCTTAATACCCACTTTTCACCTGCATCATAACTGTTGGAAGAGGAAGTTCTGTTGTGGTTTTGATGCTGGACTGTGCCATTGCATGTGAGGCGGGGGGAGGAGGGGTGAGGCGGTTTCATCAGACCTGTCTGTTTTTCTGAGTGCTGCTCTTCAACTTCCTTATTTGTAAGTTAGCACCGTTTCCTCTTTCGCGTACAGATGCAGCTCTTCTTCAGGACGCAGCTTCGGAGAAATCCTCCTTTAACCTGAGAAAGAAAACTAAATATGCACTTTACAAAATAACGTGTTTGTGTGTGTGTTACCTGCACTGGCTTGTGTTCACTTTTAGAGACTGACATTACATTTCTGGGTGCTGGGTCGTGAAGTTTGTGCAAGACCGGTGAGTACAGAGAGAAGTTGAATCGTTATCCCGGATACGAATGTTCTTTAAAACCAAAAAGTTGTTTGTGAAATGATTGTCGTTTCCTTTTAGCTTCAATGGATCCCTTCAAGAGTGTGTTGAGTGAATGACAGACAAGGAAGAAGGTGAAATGGTGTGTGTCTACGTGACAGCGATGTGTCTGCAGTAGCGTATGTGTGTGTGTGAGATGTCTGGAGACACCAGCACGCTGTCCTGGAGGAGCATGTCTCCCACCAGCCAATCAGAATCCTTGGATATGTCTCCATCGACCATTTTCACCAAGGACAATATCTTCAGGGTGAAGATCATCAAAGTGTGTTTCCTTAGCAACAGCTCCAACCTGGACAAAAGCTTCAAACTGGTCCGATGTGAGGAGGGATGGACCGTCAAGGTACACTATACTGGACTTTACTGCACTTTAGTGTGCTTTACTGTACTTTTCTGCACTCTAATATAACGTACTTTACTGTACTGCACTCAGTTGTACTGTTCTTTACTTCACTGCACTATGCTCTAACTGTACTTGACTCTACCTTAATCTACTGTACTTTTACTCTATTTTGCTCTAATGCACTTTATAGAATATTCAAAGCAAGCAAGAGATATCTATTGTAAAAATACAAGTAATGTATTAAACAGAAACAACTGTAGCCTTCTGTTATCGGAATAACATCACCAAACAGTTTTTCTGCGAATCTATGCACTCTTCTGTCAGAAGGAAGTCATATTTAGAGATACAGTCTGCAGGTCGGCAAAGATAAGACGTGCACAATCATTGTGTAGATAATTGCTTATTTATAGGTTGATGCAATTTATAGTGAGTTGTGGAATGTTTTGTGAGAAATGATTGTTTTACGGACTTGTTTTCTAGGATGTAGTGAATGTGGTGCTGTCCAGCGGCTGCGTGGGTCCGGATATATCCTTCTGCTCCTGTTTCTGCCTCCTCCTCAAACACCTGAAGTCCTCAGAGAAACACTGGCTGCACACGGACCTCACCATGTCTGAACTCACGCTGCGCTACGAGCAGCAGCACCTCGAGGCTGAGTGGAGGTCAGTACTGCAGAGAGTGAAGTACAAGTACACATAAGTACAGTAAAGTGACTGTGACGTTTGTTCGTGCAGATATGATCTGAGGATCAGATACATCCCGTCTGACTTCATCGAGAAATTCAAAGATGACAGAACCACGATGCTCTACTTTTACCAGCAGGTCAGTAATGAGTTCTGTCTCTTTCTTCAGGCTAAGCACTAGATTAGTTAGGTTCGGGTCAATGTATATGATGGTTGTAGTCAATAGAAGGTGTGTGTGCTTTATCCACAGGTGAGAAATGACTACATGCAGCAGTACGCCTCAAAAGTCAGCGATGGGATGGCTCTACAGCTCGGCTGTCTGGAAATAAGGTACTGTACACCTTATTATCTAAAAAAAACCTGTGACCCAGATCCAACATATTTGCACAACAGTTGGACTTAGTTTCATATATTTTTTAAGTCACAAATGATGTATTGTTTGCAGGAGATTCTTCAAAGACATTAATCCGAACGGACTGGAGAAAAAGTCCAACTTTGAACAATTAGAGTAAGTCCTGTGAGGTTGTTGAATGTGTGCATCAACCTTGTCGTCTTTTCTCTTGTCCTAGGACTTGCATTAATGAGAAATGCTTGGTTTGAATGTCAGATGTTGCAAAAGTGGCTCCAGCCTGTAACAGCACATGCCAGGAAATCTGATCTTTACATCTCAAAGACTTTTCCCACCTTCAAACGTGTTCCTAAGTCAGACACAGACAAGACTTTTCTGCAATGCAACCTCAGTCTGAACAATCATATCGGAAGTCATGCAACGTTTACGTAACCCCCGTACAGAAGCTTGAGCTATTGCTCCACAAAACGCTATAATAATCTTGTTTTCCGATGACCTTATCTGAATGTTATATTGGTCACACTTAGACAAAAGCCTTTGAGTAGTGTTTGATTTCTGATGGTGGTCTGACTTCTCCTTTAGAAAGGAGGTTGGTCTGGACCTGTTCTTCCCCAGAGAGCTGATCAACAGCATGAAGGTACTGACTTTAAATACGTTTTAATTGTACAATGACATTATATCATGTTATTTCTAATGATGTTCTGTTTTTCTGCATCAGCCTAAGCAGCTGCGTCGCCTGGTCCAGCAGACGTTTCAGGGTTACTCCACCCTGAAGCAGGACCAGTGCATGACTCGCTTCTTCACCACTCTGGCTCAGTGCTACAGCTACACACAGGAGAGCTTCGCCTGCCAGCTGGTGGTGAGCGTTTTACATCATTGACTGTCACATTTCTAAGATAAATTGGGCTTTTTTTAATGGTTAAGTGGGTCCTGTTTCTACAGCATGGCTGGAGTCTAACGATAGACCTGGTCATCAGCCCTGAAGGCATCAGCCAGCAGACTGAGAACTCCACGGTGAGCTCAAAGTGCCAGGAACATTTTTTTAAAGCAATAGAAGAGGTTAAATGTATGTAACATAGGCATATAGACACACACACACACACACACACACACACACACACACACACACACACACACACACACACTCATTAATAAAACAGCTCTTAATGTCAGCTAGTCGGGAAAGCCCTTCAATAAAAGTAAGACAACATTTAAACACATAAAATAGCAAAAGTTAGTAAAAAAACAATGGATAGAAATACACAAAGATCGAAATAAAGTTACAGATACAAAACCTAAGAAATAGCGTTAAAATGCTAAAAGTGTTTCTTGAGAGATGTTTTGAAAGAAGGCAAGGAGTAATACAAACACACTGCATGCAACGTGTGGAACATGAGGAAACAAACTTGGAAACATGAGCATATTAGCAGAAGCAGATCTATCATAATGTATATGTATCTATATAATAATAGACCTCTTTGTCTCTTCTGCAGCCCGTGTGTTTGGCGATGTTTTCTCAGGTGTGCAGTATCTCCTGCTCTGCAGAGAGCGACGGCCGCGCTCTGCTCACCGTGCACATAGAGGGAGCCAAACAAGTAAATATGAACCTGAGAAAGAAATAGAAACAGCATTATTTGCAGCCAAAGTGTTTGTTTCATCCTTACATATTATGTATCACTTGTATATAGACTCTTATGGCACTACTTATATTGTATTTACTTGCACTATTTGATCTGTTTTATTGTGTTGCACTGTTGGAGGAGCCTGGGCCCTAAGATGTTCATCGACATAACTACACTGTAGCTATGTACGAATGACAATTAAAGCCTTGAACCTTGTTAGTAGGAACATGTTGGAACTAATTATTTCATGGGTGCACTTTATTCAGTGAACAGTGACAGACCAGAGGTTTCACACTCTTTAATAACGGGTCAATTGAGGTGCGAAACAAGTTGGGGCAGTTTGACAGACTCTGGATGTATTTTTATCTCCGACCCTCCAGCCGCTGTCGGTGAACGTCTCCTCCCTGGCTGTGGCAGAAAACATGGCCGACCTGATCGACGGCTACTGCCGGCTGGAGAGGAACTCTGCAAAGTCGCTCATTATTAAACCCAGCAGAGGTACACCTGAGACAAAATGAAGTAAACAACAGCATGCACCATTTCTTTATTTTACAACCTGGGATACTTTGACTCTTATTGTCCATGAATCAAACAACTGGTTTCAATCAAATCAATAAAAAATGCTGCTTACACTCGTTGGTGAATAAAACACTGTCATCCAAACCTGCCTAAATGCAACCAGGTGTAAAACGCTGCAATGTTCCTTTCATTTTCTAATCCCAAATATATCTGATCCTTACAGGTAGAGAGGCAAGACAGAAATTACCTGACATCCCAAAACGGTGAGCGTCATGAATCATAATGGAGTGTAATGCGATGAAAGCCTTCATTTTCATATTCACACCATCCTCTTGGTCATGTTTTCATATTCATGACTGTCTGCTGGACTGAAAGGTCACATGATGTTTTTGACGAAAGCCTAAGATGTCTTCCTTTCTCTTCCAGTGGTGGTCCCAGTGCATCTAAAGGTTTGACATATTCACAGATTATACAGAAACACAAAGAGGTTTTAATTTTAACCAATCATTTAAACTGAAACTATGTTATTATCATGCCAAGCAATCATTGGAAATACATTTGTTGTCCCATGTTGGGGAAATGTACAATGTTACAGCAAAGGCAAAGTGCAGAAGTTATCTAAGTAGCAGCCGTAGAAAATCGTTGTTTTTAAAGTGTCTGAAGCACATAGAAATTTAAAGGTTTCTCTAACGTCAGGTTCGGACATTTATGCTGAGATTCCAGAGGGGAAAGAAAACTCTAGTGGTGAGTTTATTTCAAATGTCATCTTGATTTCATCTAACAAACCTGGTGATGAGTTAAGAAATATCACCGTTGTGTTGTTTCTTATTTTCAGAGAAGCACAGCATCTCCAGAGACGACATTGTTGTGGGGCGGATCCTGGGAGAGGGATTCTTCGGAGAGGTTCACGATGGAGTTTATAAAAGCCCCGTGAGTCCGTCTCATCACCCCCAAACACACTGAAGACACAAATGAAAATGTATCAGTGACTTTACGCTGGATGATGTTTGCATGTGTGTGTGTTTGCAGAGCGGAGAGAGGATCCATGTTGCTGTGAAAACCTGTAAAGAATGTTCTGCTGAAGTGAAGGAGAAGTTTCTCAGTGAAGCTGGTGAGTGATGGTCTGTGTTTGTGACGGTGTCGAAATCTGGAGTTGTTCTACCTTGAAAGCATGACTAGAAAACATCCACTGCAAAGAAGACCTTTCGGGGTCAAATGAAAAAAAGAGAGAATGAGTTTGGCACATTTTGTTCCGATCAGAACATGTTTGTCGGCCACTTCCTGTTGCCTGGTTGTGGCTTTGTGAAAACAAGCTAACACTGGAGGCTGTGGTATCCTCATGGTTAAGAACAACTCACTGAGTGTATGGAATGGATAAAGGTGGTTATTCAACAAAATACACATTACATGTCACTTGTTAGACCCTTTTATCCAAAGCGACTTACATACATTCAATACCACAGTATTGAATGGGCAAGGAGCAATTTGGGGTGAAGTGTCTTGCCCAGGGACACCACGACATGCTGACTGCAGTGGGACTCGAACTTGCTATACCCTGATTTGAAGTCCAGCACACTATCCACTGAGCCACAGCCTCCCCTACTATATGTCACTTTGAAAAGACTGCAAAATCTAAATTAACATTGAAAAAAAAAGCCCTGATTGATGAACCTTGAGGCTGCCATGTTGGAACAAATCTATTGTCATATCAGAAGTCTAGTTTGTATGAAAGGTCATTTGCTGAAGAATAAGTCTCAGTCGAAATAGGAACTGTGATATCTTCGCTAATAAGAGAGTGTGAAGTATTTCTAAAGAGGAAGATGACATTGCTCTTATCGCTCACACAAGCTCTGCCATGCACACACAGAGGTTAGATTCTGCTTTGTGGTGCTGGTTTTCCTGTCAAGTATAAATAAAATCTCGTGGTTAAGCGATGGTAACTCTGGTAAGGGACTTTTGATTCCCCTCTCATGCTTCCTTTTCTGCTAAAACGCAATGTTCTGTCTCTAATAGTAATACATTTCTGTCTTATTTTATTTGTTAATGATATAGCTGCTTTGTGTGTTGCAGACTTGATGAAAAATCTAGATCATCCCCACATTGTGAGTCTAATCGGAGTCATTGAGGTGGATCCCGTGTGGATCGTCATGGAGCTCCTCGAACACGGAGAGGTCGGTTTCTGTTTTGTTTGGATGAAATTACAGTAAATGATCTTATTTTGCAAGGCAAGCTTATTTATACACTTATATACACTCAAAAAAATAACTCTTTGAATGAACGTAATTAAATCATGGACAATATTCCCACATGATTAAATCACTTTCTTTCAAGATTAAGCAATTTCATTGGTCCAACTTAATTTACCTGGGTTGGGTCAACGCAATCTATTAGGGTTGATACTACTTATTTATAAAGGTGTGTTACCAACTTAATTTACCTGGGTTGGGTCAACGTAATTTATTAGGGTTGATACTACTTATTTATAAACGTGTGTTACCAACTTAATTGACCTGGGTTGGGTCAACGTAATTGCTTAAACCTGAAAGAAAGCCATTTCATCATGTGGAAATACTGTCCATGATTTAATCAAGTTCATTCAAAGAATAACTTTTGAGTGTTTACATATTTAAAACGTTTAGAGTGAACAGTAACAGTAACAGAATTTCAACAGTCTAGTGAGCTTCAAGGGTGGAAACATAACACAAAAGCGAGATGTTGAAATATAAAATTGTATTTCACAAAATAGGCAAAGAGAAACAATGCTTCAGATGCTTGAAAAAATTAAGTTTCTTCCCAAATATTATATGAAATATAATACGAGGATGCATTCGCGTCTCACGTCATTGCTGTCAGTCTAAGTATGCAGATTAGAGAACATGCAATAAAAAAGCCCATTAAGAACACCATCTCAGCCAACAAGCAGACTGGCTTTCATTGTATTAAATATAACAGTGAATATATATTTCACAAAATAGGCAAAGATAAACAATGCTTTACACTGACAGATATTAAATATAACAGTGAATATATATTTCACAAAATAGCTTTATACAGACAGATGCTTGAAAAAACAGTTTCTTCCCAAATATTAAAATGTTTCAACTTTAGGGTGAACAGTATAACAAACTTGAATTTCAACAGTAGACCAAATAAGGCAACATGGTAACATCTGCCTCCTCGCACAGCCCTCTGTTCAGTGAGGTCCACGTAACCATGCTACAGCCAACTTTGAATGCTTACTTTTATACTTCTTGCATACAATCAACATTTCTGTCAAAGAGGTGAGTCACCGAATCTCTGGCTGCGTGTTTGGAACATGAGGCGATCCCAAACCGTGACATTAGGCATGGGAAAGCAATGTTTTGAGGACTTGTCCTTTTGTGGATAGTCTGTTTCCATCTAGCTCCATCATTATTTTCTGCAGTGCTTCAAATGTAAACTTCAGCTCTGGAGGGTAGCTCAAGTTTAGAGCATCATCGCCACCGCAAAAGATACGTTTCCCAACTCATCCAACACTTTGAGCCGCTCCAGAATGATCCCAACGTTCTCGGGGTCATCCCCAGAATCTGCACCTTCGTGTCGAATGACAAATATTCCGAAGACCGTCTCTGCCATTGCCGTTTGACTGCTGTTGTCGATGCTCTGTGAAAAACAAATAAGGAGAGTGATTTTCACTGATGTGCATTACATCCCATTTCTATAATCGGTCATATTGAGCTTTATGTAGTTTGGGTTTTCCAAATTGAAAAAAATGAAAGAACAAAAAACACTGTTTCCAAAAAGCATGAACACATCCAACATCATCAAAATATAAAGGCAACATTTCCCTAAGGGTTAGTTTTAGAAGAAACACAATCCATTCCAACTATGATCATCCTCCTCTTTGTATTCCTTCACCAGCTTCTCTGGATCTTCATTGAAGTAGACACAAAGACCTTTGAGGATGCATTCGCGTCTCACGTCAATGCTGTTAGTCTAAGTATGCAGGTCAGAGAACATGCAATAAAAAGCCCATTAAGAACAACAAGCAGTCTGGGTTTCACCGTTTCACAAATGTTTTCTTTAAAGCCCTGAATGTAATATTGCACTTTAATTAAATGGGTTTAGTTTGGACAGATAATATGCTATGCAATTTAAGCAATACATTTTTCTAAAAAAGGAAAACAATTAGTCTTATTTTGAATATTTAAAATGGCTTTTTATTGAAGAAATACTTTTGCTTTAAAAAGCTAATCTGTTTCCAATTACTCGATGAATCAATGGAATAATTGATAGAATACTCGATTACTAAAATAATTGATAGTTGCAGTCATAGGCGGCGCGTGAGGCTCAGGTTTGGGAAGGCTAAATCACTTTTTTTACCTGACGCTGCCCGCCACCGGCGTGTATAGAAAATAGATCAACTCAGTGACCAATCAGAGCTCAGTGTGCGGAGTTTAAATCTATCACGTCATATTACAGGATAAAGGAAATACAGTTTAAACTGCCGTATGCAGAGAAGACGCCGACGTGTCGCACTTATCGTTCATATCACATCATCAATCAGATCATCGATCAGATAATATATATTTCCTTATCTGAGTCAGCTGAGCCGTATCTGGCCGTGCAGCACTCACAGTGTCACATACTGTATGCAGAAGTATTATTTTAAGCAACACATTGGGTTGACGAAACACTCAACTCAAATGTAATTAAAGTCAGATCCACTCGTGTCTATGGGGCAGTGATATCATAAACCTGTTGTACGCTTTCAAACGCTCTGTAGTTTATTTATTTTTTAACGAGTTGTTCTGTATTCTCCTTGCAGCAACTCTGTGGCTTGTATCCTGGATTATATGTTTAAATCATGGATGGTTAAAGCTCATATTTGTCTAATATTAGTTTACTTTTCATTAATGAAGTATGACGCTGTCAGTACACTTGTCCCTGTGTGTGATTGGTCAAATGTAGCTAACCCCGCCCCTTTCACATGAATGCGCTCTCAGCTGGAGAGAGAATCCCTGGCTTGATTTACAGAGTTGATAACCAGCGTTGTAGGACCGCTTAGCGAGATCTAGTTTGTTAGGGTTAGTGAAGATAACTCAAACATATCCAGGGTCTGTTGAACTGGCTTCGTAGCACAGTTTACTGGTGGCTGCATAGCAGCGCTAATGTCAAAGACACAAACATTATATTTTTATTTTACCAGGATGCAGTGACAAAAATATTTGCGAAGGCTTAGCCTTCCCTAGCCTACAGTACCCGCCGCCCCTGGCTGCAGCCCTACAGTACACTCAGTGACCATTGGGGTAGGAACATCTGCCATTTCCATGAAAGACTGCTGTCAGGGACAGCTTTGTAGTGCGTTATTTTAGGCCTTCATAATAGTATGCCACTCACTCTGATACAATGACCCCCACTGGGGGAATGGATGTGGTGCTAAGTGTCAAAATAATATCGAAAACATAATGCTCCGGATGCTATGCTATTCACGGAACATCGCAGACTTTGTACAGCTCCTACAGTTTCTTTGTCACCTTTACATTGTTTTCATACCTGGGTTATGGGAAGCATGATGCTTTTGATCTTCTTCCCTTGAACTCCACCTTTCTTGGTATACACGTCGATCAGGCTGGTAGAGTGAATATCCAGCGAAGAGAAGAACTTGGATTGCAAATGAATTGTTGTGATTCTCTTAAATTCTGCATTCACCTACAACAAAAAAACAAAACCCACAAAACTCAGATTGGCTATTTTGATGTCACTGTTCACAGGTTTGATTTAGCAGTTCAGTCCGTTTAAGACATGCAATTGCATAAATCATTTACATTAGCAGATAAAAGGCATCACATACTTGAATGAATGGTAAATAAAGAATGCTGGAAATAACTGCATCTCCATTAGCCTGTATGCTCTGCAGAGACTGCCTTCTTCATGTTGTGAATTGCAGCTGATGTTTTAATATGGCAATTGGCAAAAGTTTGACATTTGACTCATACAATAACCCATCTTCGAGTGATGCTCTAGTTTCCAGCCTGAATGATCGGCCTGTAGGGAGGGACGGCCCTGCGTGTGTGTCTCACCTGATTGAGGGTCTTCTGCAGGTGTGGTGTGCCCATGCGTTCTGCAATGTGTCTGTACCCCGGGTGGGACAGGAAGAACTTCCTCTCAGCAGCCAAAGCAGCGCGGATGTCTTTCTTTCCATCAATGTCCTTCTGACTGCGGTTCACCACCCCGATGTAACCTAAAGAAAGACAAATATCAGTTGTTCAATGTGAGTTATGGAATAAAGACAAACGTTGATTCCAAAGCACTTGCGACCAAATATTAAATTATTATAACTTCTACAATTGGAGAACTGTTCACATGTGGAACAATACAAATAAAGCTGTTAGTCAATTTAACACCATAGTAATTGTTTAATTTCAATGTTAGGAATTACAGGGAAAATAATGCAGATTGATGATTTGCTGACCGCTAAAGAAAAGACACCCTGTTTTGGGTAGTATATCCATCCATCCATCCATCTTCTCCCGCTTCTCCGTGGTCGGGTCGCGGGGGTAGCAGTTCCAGCAGAGAGCCCCAAACTTTCTTTTCCCTGGCGACATCAACCAGCTCTGACTGGGGGATCCCAAGGCGCTCCCAGGCCAGCGAAGAGATATAATCCCTCCACCTGGTCCTAGGTCTACCCCTTGGTCTCTTCCCAGCTGGACGTGCCTGGTATATAAAGTCTGTAAATATTGTAATGTAATAGCTGGATTCCAATCAAGGATTTAATAAAATGTGTGCGTGTGGGGGGGTTCTCACCTCTGTGGAGCGGCAGTAGTTTGTTTTCCAGGATGTCTCGTGCGTCTGTCCCTTCATCCATCAGGTCCAGTTTGGTGATCACACCAATGGTCCGTAGACCTAAAGACAAAAGCATCAATGCTAATACTGAATCTCTCGCTCTTATATATTCACACATGGGATTTTAGGATTCAAACAGATAATTGGAGGTGTGTGTGTGTGTGTGTGTGTGTGTGTGTGTGTGTGTGTGTGTGTGTGTGTGTGTGTGTGTGTGTGTGTGTGTGTGTGTGTGTGTGTGCTGCATGTAGCAGTCGCGTGTGTAAACTGCCCCGCCTCCGTCGCACAGAGACGCTGGATTGGAAAGATCGAAAATACTCAAAATAATCAGACGCATTTTGCAGTCTTTTTGCATATTAAAAACGGAGTTGGCAAAACTGCAATATAATGTTTGTGTAGCATAATACATATAACATGTTTTAAATATCTCCAGTACCGATACAAAGACTGATAACATTGGAGCTTAATGGCACCAGAGTCTTTAATAATTAATTCCCGGGACTCCTTTGATTAATACGGGGCTCGGTACCCTACTGAATTGTTACATTATCCTATATTACTCAAAGTTGAAGTGCTTGTTTTTGCCACTGATAGGCACACGTATTATTATTATGAAGTGCCTGACAACATTATTACTGAAAATGCGTGGACATCAATATTTAAAATCGAGGAATATTAAGGAAACGTTGCCGATTTTCAGCCGGCTCTTTGTCACTGCAGTGCAGGCAGCATGTAGGTTACTGGCCCGGGGGTGCAGTGACACAGAGCCGAACATAACTATATGCTGAGCAGGGAGAGCTAGCGGAGAGACAGAGAGTGAGACTACCGACACTGGCAGAGCGGCACCCGTCACGTAACATTAACTGCAGAGCGAAAACCACAGTGGCAGTCAGCTCCGCATGGCAGCTAGCTTGGCAGCTAATTTACGTGACGCAGCCGAATAACGGCGCAACATTCCTTTGTAAAAGGGGCTGATATTACTGACATATAACAGGGTTGCCAACTCTCACGCATCTGGCGTGTGACACACGCTTTCACTCTCAATCTCACGCTCTCACGCTGCCCAAACTATTCTCACGCCAAAAACAAGAATACCGAAGACTAGAAACGGTTTTGAAAACTGTTGTCACGTAGTGATCGTCTTCTCAATAGAACATCTTTGATAATGTCTTCTGGCCAATCAGAATCAAGATAACGGCGTGGTGTTGTTCCAGGAAGTCCCGACGGAGAATACTTTTGCTGTAGTACATCTCTATATACATCGATACAACATTACGTGTTGATAGAAATCAACACGTAATGAAATAAGACCCCACGGTTTGATGATTGATAGGTGCAGGGACGTGCACAGGTACGGGCTAATGTTGCCAGGGAAACGGCCCGTTTGGCCTTTTTGGCTGACCTGCCCCTCTGGAGAGAGCGAGAGTTTATTTTTATTTTTTCTGTTGTGGCCGAATCAACATGATCGAGGATCTCATTGTTTGACCTTAAGGGATATAGGCCTACACTGTGGCCCTAAAGCAAGTGCTCCATTATCTGTATCAAATGCAGACATTGATGCCACCAAATGTCACAATAAAAATAGAAAGTACTACAAATAAACTGGAATTCATTTACATCTTAAATTATGAATATATTATTCACAAAAAAAGGTTTACAAATATCCAACCTTCAAATTGCTTTTTTAAATCAACACTGCTCTGCACACTTGCTAAAGAACATTTGTGTGGAAATCTCAATTCATTTGTAGGGCTGCGTGAGTATGGCCAAAAGTATGGGAGTAAATCTCACTGTAAACTATTTAATCATCACCAAATTCTGTGTTATTATGACCGATCATAACTCAGCTTTATGCAGACATATTTAGCATGGTGTACAGGGCCGCTTCTTGGCATAGGCGACATAGGCGGTCGCCTAGGGCGCCAGATCTAGGGGGGGGGGGGCGCTGCGCTGGCAGCTCTGGGAGGGAAAAAAACATTTTGACTGTGCGCTCATCCTAATTTTCGGCCTTGATGTAACAACATTCATAATTAAGTCAAGGTAACACCCTTTTCACCCCGGTTACACTTTTCATTTGCCCTGTACGATGGGCGCTGTAAGTGATGAAAGTGGGGGGTGTTGGCTTATCAGGCGTCCGCAGCTCACAGCCAAAGTGGGTGTGGGATCGAGCGAGAGAGATAAATGCAATTTATGTAAACAAATATTTCCAAGGCACTCTTTTATAATTATTGGGATAAACAGGTTTGAAATCATTTCAATGTATACTATAGGACAGAAAACCAAAAATATCATTTAAAACTTGAGAGATACAAAAATATGCATAAATAAATGTTAACTAGGTAAAATAAGATATGAATGAACAACAAAAATAAAATAAGTTGCATTTATTTGCTATTGGTTTTGTTCACATACTTATTTGATTATTAAAATGTAAACCAATCTTTTTCATATGGGTGTTTTACGGCCCGTCCACACAGCAGCGTGCGTTGAAAGCTTCACCATTCACTTTGAATGGGGTGACGTCACTTTGCTGGCGTGGCTCGCTGCAAAAGTTGAGCAATGTTCAAGTTTTGAAGCCACGGCAGAAGCGTCAGCCAATCGAATCATATGCCAGTACAAGCTCTAGCCAATCAAACCGCTGCTTGTATGTCAGGGGCGGGGGATTCATGTGATTGGTTGTTGGTCGAGTTTCAGACACGCTCGCCCTGTGTGGACGGGCCGTTAGAGTTGTACTCTAGTAATGTGTGCTCTAAGTGCACCAGATAGAAGCATTTTACTTTAAATGTTCAAACATTTCTTTCCGGGGGGGCATACCCCCGGACCCCCCTAGAGGATATGATGTCCTCAGCCCAATTAAAACATGTTCATATAATACTGAATACATTTGAAGCCTTTGATGTATATGACTTATGTCAATACGTTTCTGTTTTTGTAGTGCATTGGTCTTTTGTAGAGATTTTTTATTTATTTTTATATATTCTATTGTGTATTCCTTGGATACTTTTATTTGTTCTACTGAACGATTTTCTGGCAGGGGGGGGGCGCCAGCAAAAATCTCGCCTAGGGCAGCAAATTGGTTAGAACCGGCCCTGATGGTGTAGGAAACGGGCTTCGTGTTACAAGACGGGTCGGGGGTTTGGCGGTACCACTGCAGACTCTCTGCACACACACACACACACCGCTGCAGACTCTCTGCACACACACACACACCTGCTGCAGACTCTCTGCACACACACACACCGCTGCAGACTCTCTGCACACACACCCGCTGCAGACTCTCTGCACACACACACACACACCGCTGCAGACTCTCTGCACGAAGGAGCCACGGTGCTGCAGCTCCTGATCGGAGCAGAGACACACGTTCACTAAGCGGAAAAACGATATCCTGTCACAGAGATCTGCTATTTTAAATGTTAAAGTCAACACATATCGACCCTAAATAAAGTCTATATTAAGAACGAGAGATGTTTTGACATTATGGCTTAAACAAATGACAAATGAGCGAGGTCGATGACGTCAGAGCATCGTCCTATGTGCCAGGGCTGAGCCCTGGACAGCCCCGGCCCAATTTAACCCCTGGTTAGAGGCCCTATTTTATCAGTATGTCTGGACTGCACAGCAGTTACAATGGTCAAACTACATTAGAACAGAATTGTCCCCATTTTGTCTTTAATAGTTACTAACATTAGATATTTTAATGAGATATGGACCGCAAAACAAAAAATGTCCCTGATTTTCATTTTTGAAATTAAGTCACCGAATGCAAGTAGTCGCCTTAGCTTATTTTGTTATGAGATGTGAATTACTGTTCAATTTAGTTGATGTAATCATCATTTGGTTTCTTTTACATTAAAAAAAGGTCTTGTGTTTTTTTTCGGGGGGAGGCCCTTTTTCCAGTTTAGAGCAATAGCCCCTCCAAATGTCTGTGCATGTCCCTGGATAGGTGTGTGGGCTGTCTTTCATTTTGACACACAGAACAATGGGGGCTATCCACCCTTATCCACAATGTAAAGTCATTCACAGCCTCTCCTCTTCTCTCTGTGAGGAGCAGCAGGCTCAGCTTTCAGAACAAAGTAACACAAAACTAAAATGGCATTAATTTTTTTAATATGTCGTGTAGTAATAGATTTATTTATTTTTATTCTCAAGAGAGTACCAGAATGTGTATTTTATGTTAGTAGCCTATTTCAAAACTAAAACAAAAAAAATCTCCTGGGGGAGAATCCCCCCAGACCCCCTGCAGGGGTTGGGTTTTCAGCATGTCAACTCTTTCACCTGTGGGGAAATTGCAGGATTGGCTCCAGGTCGCCCTTTTTATTTACTTCAAGACAAATGTGCATTTTTATTTCATACAGTTCAATTTGGATTGAGACAGGGAAATAATCTAACCCTCACGCGTGGCGTTTCACTGTCAAGGGGAGCGTGTATGTAATTACATTGCAAATACTGACATGAGCCCCACCACTGTATGGGTTAGCCCTACCAGAGATTACCCAACAAAAATACTCTCTCGCAACTGCCGACCCGTATTGCGCATGCGCATGCGCAGATCTAAGATCCAGTAGAAATGCTAAAAAGTAAAAGTCTGCTGCTTATTGTTCTACTAGGCCAACATAGAGTCAAAGAGTCTATGAGAGTGAGAGTGTGTTAATTAATATATTTGGCAGTTTGGAGTAAGTCTGTAGATTTGTTTGTGTGTGTGTGTTTCATGTATAGGCCTCTCACGATAATTAATTTAGTTGGATACATTTTCCCGGAAATTATTGCGATAAACGATAATATTGTCGGCACCGTTGTTTGACCATTTTAGACCACTGACATAATGATAATATATAATAATAATTCAGGTACATCCTTTCAAACTGCTAGTCACATCCTCATATAAATGGGAATTTATCGAGTGCATTTTTATTTATCGTACGATACGTCAATTAATTGCTTATCGCGACAGGCACACAATAAAACAGTGGAAACAAACATGTGTTTGACTTTCAATAGTGAATGAAACTTTGTGCCCTTTATAGTCTGTGTCCAATATTGTGTATTTGTATATATATCCTATATATAGGCTATGCTAAGGTCCTGCTGCTGACACGATAGCAGTCATTTCATGCGCATATGTAATTAAACCCATGATATCAAAATCTCACTCCAGCCAGGTACCCAAAGTTGGCACCCCTGCATATAAGCGCCTGGGGTAGCACACTTTTCGTTTAACTTTCCCAGGGTAATGCTTCCGTCATTTAGTTTTCAATCCTGATATTCTATATTTGAACCATCTCCCTAACTTGCAGTTACACAGACTAGCTAGTTAACGACGTTAGCTATAGCATGTTCGTCGGCTCATTCGGCTTTTTAAGTGAGATAAAAAAGAACACTAAATAACAAATTAACTATCAACGTTACCACAATATCGCTCGTGGACTAGCAGTTGATGACATTTATTAACAGCGTCACAGTTAGATGACAATGTTTTCTGCTTACTTCCTCCAACTTTCGCCATCGGTCTTTCTTGTCTCAATGATCCTCTCTCGCGATGATGATGGTTAAGTTTACGGTTAAGCCCAAATATCGCGAGTGCACACAGGATGAAGGAAAAACCTTTCCCGCCAGATCGCGGACAAAATAAAACAATGGCAGAGTTCTCTTAATACATCCATGTAGTCAAGCATGTAGCATGTCTTATTGTTTGTCGTTTCACATCTTTACAACCGTGAACATTTAAAAGTAGATTGATTTTTGTCTCTGATTACATTAGTTGGTATCCAGTTTATTGGTGGTTATACCGCCTCCTTCTGCTCTGGAGTGGGAATCATATGTACCCTAATCCCTTTGTGTCAGTTTATCTCAACATGAATGAATCTAATACATGTGAAGTTGTTGCGATTCATGCAAACCATACATGTTTTCATCACGTTCGTCTTGGAAACATGAAATTATTACGTTGAAAATACATGTTACATTTTATTTGATGTAACAGCCAGCCAAAGTCCTTTTTTTGAGTGTAGATATAGATATAGTGTCACAGAAACACAGTATAAATTGACTTATTTAAAAGCCAAGAGAATAAAAGAAAAGTCTTTATCCTTGTTTTAAAATAGGCGAGTTCAATTGGCAACCTGTCTCTGTATTAAGTGAACACACTGGAGAGTTTAGGTTGCACTATAAGTAATACAAGGTGCAAGTATCTTTAATAAAAGTGTTGTGTTCCTGTCAGCTGGGCAGCTACCTGGTGGAGGAGCAGTACACCTTGGCCACAGCAACCTTAACACTGTACTGTCTGCAAATCTGCAAAGCCTTGGCCTACCTGGAAGGACTCAACATGGTGCACAGGTAACACACACTCCTCTAAGACAACCCTACTTTTAAATGAAGGATACGTAATCATTTGGTCTGGTTTCTGCAGAGATATAGCGGTGAGAAACGTGTTGGTGGCGTCTCCTGACTGCGTCAAACTCGGCGACTTTGGACTGTCTCGCTACGTTGACGAACAAGAGTATTATAAAGGTGAACACTTTGCTTCTGATGTGGTCAACATCTCAGAGACTCTCAGCGTAGACGAAACTCATTAGAGGTGTTCAAGTTTTTCTTGACTTTACCAAGAGGTACAAGGAGTGTTACCTCCAGCATGCATTCACATAATGTCATTCTTTGTAATAGCAAAGATACTTTGTAATAGCAAAGATACTTGTTAATATTGATTTCAGCCTCAGTGAGTCGATTACCGATCAAATGGATGGCACCTGAGTCCATCAACTTCAGACGCTTCACCACCGCGAGTGATGTCTGGATGTTTGGTGAGAAAACACTCGTCTGTCTGAGCATTAAAGCAAACTCACACTCAACTAAAAGTACAGTTTTGTCAGCAGGATAAAGCTTTTCCTAACGTCAGACATGCTATAAATTAACTGTTAGAATTGTTACAGTGAAGCTCCTTCTTTCCATGTCTCTAGATACGGTGGTAATGAAAAATAGGTGACATTAATATGCGATAAAAGCAAAATCACATTGACAAAATTGACAACTAATTGAAGTAACAATGCCGTTTAAAAGCTTGTAGACTTTTATTATTAACATATATATTATTATTCTTATATATTTGTATTATTTTGTTGGTCTTTTTCCCTTTTTAACTACTCTGTTGTTATACTGTATATCATACAAATGTGAAAAGGCTGTATTTGATGTTAAATATCGTTAAGTGTGAATAAAAAGCCAACGCAGTTGTCCCCGTGTGTGTGTTGACCCAGGTGTGTGTGTGTGGGAGATGTTCTCATTGGCCCAGCAGCCGTTCTTCTGGCTGGAGAACGGTCAGGTGATCAACCAGCTGGAGTTGGGGTTTCGACTCCCCAAACCTCAGCAGTGCCCCCCGCACATCTACTCCCTGCTGAGCCGCTGCTGGAGCTACGAGCCGAACAACCGGCCCACATTCAGCCAGCTCGTCTGCCTCCTCAAGTAAAAACACCTGCCTCTCTTCTCTTTTAACCCTCCTGTTGTCTTCGGGTCAAATCTGACCGATTTACTACTTTCATTAATCATAACTTTTTTGATGTACTTATATGATTCTGTTTTCTTCAAGGTTGTGTCTTCCTGGTCGAATGTACTTATTGTAAGTCGCTTTGGATAAAAGCGTCAGCTAAATGCAATGTAATGTAATGTAATGTTTTACATTCGATTGCATTAAGGCTTTATGATATCCTTCGCAGTAGACATTTGAACATATCAAATGGCTGATCACCACTTTCGTTGCATTTTGGATGATTTAGTCAACTTTGTAACACCCATGGTGTTCCCGGTCAAAAATGACCGCCATAAAGAAAAGGAATTAGTAATGAAATAGTAGTAGTAGTTTTCGCCTTTGCAGACCATTGACATGCACACAAACGTATATAACACACTACAGGAGAGGGAAAACCCAGAGAGCACAATAGGCCTCCTTTAACGTAGTTGCATTTTTTCTCACTTTGGATGTTTTGTCTCATCTTTCCATCCTTGTTAAGACACGCGTGATTAACACATCTGAAAGTCTTGAATATGTTTTAAATTGAAATTGTGGCATGAAAAGTTCAAATAAATGTGTTCTTACAGTTATGCATGCTGGGATTTGTATTTGTTAAGTACTTTGCATGTTGCATTGTTGGAGGAGCCTGAGATTTATTGCCAAAACTATGCGGTAGTTACTAAAAAAAAACTCTGAACATTTGAGTGTGTGTGTGTGTGTGTGTGTGTGTGTGTGTGTGTGTGTGTGTGTGTGTGTGTGTGTGTGTGACAGTGATTTCCACAGGATGGAGTTGGAGCAGGATGGGAGGAGAGACAGATCGCGCTCTGTCTCTGCATTTGATGCTAACAATCCCAAAGAGCCTCCACCCAAGGTACGAATAAATGGAAACTACGTGCTTCATAACATCTGTATGGAGGTGAATGAGTGAGTGCTGCACTTCCTCTAGTGCTTTAGTTAATCTTTTACTTTAGCAGACAGTGACGGTCTGACACTGTAAGTCATTAAGAGCAGGTTTACTTATCCAACTACATTTTGTTAGTTTGCTTTCGCTCAATTTTCCTTCATTCTTATTTCCATTTGAGTCCACATATTTGTATGCTGTCTATTTTTAGTTAGTGATGCATTTGACTTAAGTGGGCGTTCTTAAAATAGACCACATCAGGCTGTTTTATTCCTTATAATAAATTAAAAATCCACTTTTTCTCTTTTCCAGCCATCCAGAATAAAAGGCGACTCCCTTCCTCGAGTCACGTGCCAACAGGTGTCAACACAACACACTTTCATATTTCACCAAATTTAGGAGCTATTTAAATCTCCAGCTGTGACTTCTTGTTCCCTTATAGATACAGAACACACTGTGTAAACCTGCAAATCTTTCAAATGCAATATTGGAAAAGATGTCTGATCACCTTATGTGGATATATTGTTCACTCAATGACTAACTCTTCCAATTTAAGGAAGCTTTTGGTTGAGTCACACTGCGTAAAGTCAGCTGATTTTAAAGTTGATCGGGCCAAAGTTGATGACTAAGCAGCAACCAACATAGAAATGGAATAATCAATTTAAAAATGCAAAATAACTTCTTAGAAAATGAGTAAAATAACAAAAAATTTAGACTGAGATCAATCAAATCATAAAGTTATACTATTGCAAATACTGGAGTGAAAATGTAACATTGAAAGGGTGTGTGTGTGTGTGTGTGTGTGTGTGTGTGTGTGTGTGTGTGTGTGTGTGTGTGTGTGTGTGTGTGTGTGTGTGTGTGTGTGTGTGTGTGTGTGTGTGTGTGTGTGTGTGTGTGTGTGTGCTCTCAGAGGGACTATCATTTTTAATGTGACACACTGTTGAATAAAGGAAGTATAGCGGGACATGGGGTGTGTTTGCATTAGCCAAACAGGTTGGACTGATGCTGATCACTTTCGCGTGTGTGTGTGTGTGTGTGTGTGTGTGTGTGTGTGTGTGTGTGTGTGTGTGTGTGTGTGTGTGTGTGTGTGTGTGTGTGTGTGTGTGTGTGTGTGTGTGTGTGTGTGTGTGTGTGTGTGTGTGTGTGTGTGTGTGTGTAGAGAACAGAGAGGGACACCAGGCCGGTGTGGGAGAAAGAGAGAGAGCACGTGGAGAACACTTTACAGCGACAGAGAAGGGAGATGCTGGCGGATGAACAGTGGCTGGAGCAGGAAGAGAGACAGCTGGTGAGGAATAACACACACACACACACACACACACACACACACACACACACACACACACACACACACACACACACACACACAGGAAGCAGCACTTCCTTGAGAGTGTGACGAAACAATGAAAGAAACAGAGTGACGTTTCCTAAAAGCAGAAGATCTTCGGCGAGCACATGACACAGAAGCAGAATTAACACTTCACCCACATTATGCAACGCTGCGTTCACTGACCTCTGCTTCTGTTTCTCTGCAGGACCCTGTGGTGCGGGTGGATTCACACATCAAGGTGCTTTATGGTGTCTTTACTTCTCTTCTTGTGACATATTTAAGAGGCAAACAAAAGGTGTAGTTAACACTTTGTAACCATTAGCTGCAGAGGCATATCTGTTTCTCACACACACAAGTGTTGTTTACAAAGCTTTCTGCCTCTTTTGTCAGTATAAGCCTCTTTAGCATCTCGAAATTATGAAAATAGTCAATCTAAACCTGACCTCTGACCTAAAACTCATCCTTTCTTTCATGCTTTTATTGCAGCCTCCTGAAAAAAGACAAGAAAATGGTGAGTCTAGTGTCTCAAACAAGTGTTTTAAGATAAAGCATGTGTTATTTTCACCATGCATTGTATAAAGGAGATGCAGCATGTTATTGATTCCACATTAAAAGTAATTTCATACACATGCGTGGTTATGTATGTCATCAAAATGCGTTGATATTCAGGTTTTTTGTCTCCATCAGTTCCTCCAGAGAAGCCACCAATGCCTCCCACAGTCATGCAGGTAAAAAATATCCCTTTTATTATAAATGTGATTACTTTCTTGTGAAAATGACCAAACACTTTAAAAACGACTAGAACATGCGCTTTGAGGGGTAAAGTGTTATATAACTACAGTCCATTTACCTTTTGTTGTAGGCGCGGCCGACAGCTGAGCTGGACCGGTCAGGTGACCAGGTGTACACGGGCGTCATGGCGATGGTGAAGCAGGTGGTGCAGCTGAAGAATGACGTCAACACGCTGTCGGCCTCCGAGTACCCCAACGCTGTCAAAGTAGGACATCATTTTGTGGAGGAAACTTCTGTGTAGCAATGCAGTGGGAGTCACTGACTCATGAAGGAGACACGGGACGAGCAGGAGTTCTGATGTCAAACACTGAGATTTAATACAAGCATCGGCCGGAGAAATTCACATCACAAGTCACACAGTCAAAGGTTCTGACTGCCCGGGTGGTTTGCCATGTCAAATCTGATCAGCCTCGCATCTTGGTAGACCTTTGAACTAGTTTACAGAGAGTCAAATCCACATATTGGGGATGGGCGTAAAACATCTGCAGACAGATGTCTCTCACATCTGTGGAGCTTAGAAAGCCAGCGTTCTCACACTCGCAAAACCCCCCTACGCCCTGCAGGTCAGGCCATAAAACCTAGTATCAACATACGACTGTATTAACACATTCCTTACGGGAGATTAGAAGCAGGGATGGTCGTAAATGTCAACACACAGAATAAGGTTAAATGTCTAGGAGTAAAGACAAAATTAATCCCGAACACATTTCACATTGAATTTAACAAAACTGTTCTCCTAGAAGCAGCGAAATTCGTTTTTGGACTGTCCTTATCTCTGACATACTCTCAACTCCTCTATTAGACACAATAGTTTACATTAACGCACACCATGTGAGCCATTCCTCCTTAAAAATACTGTAAACCTTAAGATAAGATAAGAAGTACTTTATTGATCCCAAGTTGGGAAATGTTTGTGTTGCAGCAGCATAAAAAGACATGGCATTGTACAATACAAATTTAAAGAAATTGTTACGCTCAAAGAGCGCTTACAGGCTGAACCCTCAATACAAACACGGAAGGGAGGAGACGTGAGTATGGAAGCAAAAATAATTTAATTTCCAATTCAAAGTTCAAACAATACTGCTGTGGAATTAATAATCCGGATCGAGGAATTACTACGGGGGGGGGGGAGTGGAGGTCCGTAGTTGAAGATCCGGAGGATGTCGGAGAGAGCAGGCTGAAGCCGGGGTTCGGAGATTTGCAGCGGAACACGGGTGAGATGAGCCGGGGAATCAGAGTTGAATAGAGTGACCAGGCTGGAGCTGGTAGTGAAGATAATCCGAGGTTTGCTGACGAGGTGGTGTTGGCTGGACGTGGCAGGCAGAGGAGTAGACGGATTCTGGGCAGAGAAATACAGGTTTAAGAATATAACTTTGACTTGGGAACTAGGTTAGCTTTCTAGCAATCAATACGTGTTACCAGTGTATCTTTGACGACGAACTGGTGAATACTGGTTGAGGAAGCCGGGTATATAAACAGGTGTGGGTGAGTAGATGAATCGGGAAGATGAGTAGCAGCTGCGGAGGTGAATTGACGGGAACTGAAAGTAGGTCAGCACGCCCAGCCAGGAAGACAGACAGATACAAACAAACATGAAACAAAAAGAGAAGCAGAAGGAAAACTGCACATCCTTACAGAAATAAACATTTCAAAATGTCAACATCTCAATAGCATAAAAAACAAATGCACGTATATTCTACCTGTTGAAACAGCAAATCTAATACATGTAGTACCAGGGACGGCGTCATGGGGGGTCATTCGAGGGCCATGCCCCCCAAATGAGTCACTGTGCCCCCCCAAATGAGTCACTGTGCCCCCCCAACGCAGGGTGGGCAAGCCTTGCCACTTTGCCGTTTAAAAAAAAATATACATCAGAAATAAAGAATACAAATATAAAACACAGCCTGAGGTGTGCTCACTGCTGCTCTCTGATTGGTGTGTTGCTTGACCAATGACCCCCGACTTTTGTTTTGTTATCATTACGTGGCTGTGTGTTTAGATGAAAGCCGGTGGCAATCTGTTCATCTGTTACACTGATTATACAGTAAAGCCATCGAAAATAATATGATATACAGTACAGTACAAGTAGCCTACTTCTGGGTCTCTGTGTTTCATTCAAGCTCGGCTCTGTGTGTGTGTGGCACGAGCGCATTTTGTGAGTGCGCGAGCGGTAACGTGGAATGTTGTTGTTAGCATCTGGTTAGCTAGCTATGCTAACGGAGATAAAGAGCTGTTTCTACACCAAGGTGGAGGAGAGTCCTCTCCTGTCAGACTGAGAGGATCGTATAACCTCAGCTCAGTGATGTAAGGACTCTCTCAGTGTTTAGATAGGTCACTTTAGTGTAAATTATCTCAGTGGGTCTCAAACGGTTTGGTCACCATTTATGTAAACAAGTATTTGCGAGGAACACATTTATATGATCATTAGCCTATAGTTATTAAAAAAATAAGAGAATAAATGAAAAACGGGTATGAAATACTATAGGACAGTAACACAAGAATACAGTTTAAAAGGGGAGTGATTAGTAAAATATCCATAAAGAAAAAGTAAATCTGTGTACAGTTCTGTTTCATATGGGTGCTGAGAGATGTAGGCTATCCATAGATCTCTTCATTTTGCTTTCAAAGTGCACCAGATTGAAGCATTTAACTTCAATATTTAAAAAATAATCTTCCCGGGAGAGCTTGCCCCCAGACCCTCCTAGAGGAGGTTAGGTCCACCCCCACCTAAAACATGTTCACATGGATAGGATACTAAATACATTTGCACACTTTTTATATGGTGGCCGATGTCCATATGTTTCTGTTTTGGTGGTTGTGCCACAACCGTGCATGTATGCACAAGTCATAGGTGCGCTAGAAAATAGCACTACACTCTGCAATGTGTGTGAAAAACAATAGACTTTACAGCATGTTTTTTGAAATTGAAGTTGCGTTGGTGTTTGTGTATTGGTTGTTGACGGCAGTGTGTGCCCCCCCTTGGTAAATGATTGCCCCCCCATTCGATTTGTTCTAGAGCCGACCCTGTGTAGTACTGCACATATTTCTTAGAGTAACTTGTCATATTCTTCTCTGCTCCTTTTAGCATCATGTATGCACGTTAATACACCAAATCCCTTGTATGTGTTACCCTACCTGGCAACACTCCTGATTGTGATCAAACAGACAGGTAACAGACAATATGTCTCTCCCTCTCTAACCTCCAGGCGGTGGGCATCACTCTGCGCGGTCTGATCCAGAGCGTGGATGAGATCCTGCCCTCGCTGCACTGCTCCGTCACCACAGAGGTAAACATCTCCACCTCTTATTTTAAACAATCATTGTCACGTAAATATAGTCATTTGATCATTATTTAGAGTTCATTTGAGTAGTTGTTTATGCTTTTATTTTTAAGGCAGCTTCAGGCAACATGTGGTATTTATTAGTAGACAGGCGGAGAAGGGGTTGGAAAGTTCTCGAGTAGAGCCAGCTCAAGACACACCCATTTTATTTGGCTTTGAATTTAATTGTATTTATTCTTATTTTGTTGTTGTTTCCTTCAGTCCTGGGTTTATTGACTTCTGTTGGAATTAAGTTGTTGCTTTGTGCAGGAAAAGTGCCATATAATTAGATCCAGATTTGATTTTCTGCAACCATATCATTTCTTACGCAACACGTTCACTACTCATGCTACTAAAAGACATCAAAATGCTGATTATGTTTGTATTTTATCCTAATAGTATTAATAAAACTGAGCATTTCTTGAAGACGATCAAATCAAACTACTTAAAATGTTAATAAAACCCACCTAGATTACCCAAATGAAACTGTTTCATGTGCTCCTCTCAGATCGAGGGCACGAAGAAGCTGCTGAACAAGGACCTGGGGGATCTGATCAGTAAGATGCGTCTGGCTCAGCAGAACAGCGTCACCTCTCTGAAGGAGGAGTGTCAGCGCCAGATGTTGACCGCTGCTCACACTCTGGCTCTGGACTCCAAAAACCTTCTGGACGCCGTGGACCAGGCGAGAGTCAGAGCCAACCTGGCCAGGCCAAGACCCGCCTCTCTAGAAGCTGAGGATTCTGGGGAATGAAGTTCCCTGTTGAGTGAACAGACTGGATTTAAAACGAGGACAGGATGAATCTGGACTGCTCTGCTCCTGTGAGAGTGTGCAGCACTTCGGAAAGACGTCATAATATATATTTGTATTTTCTCCAAATATAATTTAATAAAACAGTGTTTCTTCAACATGAACGAATCAAGCTACCACAATGTATACAAGAGTTTTATTTCTACAAAACAAGTATCATTTGTATGTCTTTTTTTGGTGAGAAATACCAACTTTCCTCTCAGGCTTTTTGCACAATAACATTCTTCAATTTGTTTTAATTCTTCGTGTGATTAGACAAGCATTGCTTAACCAAATGACTGCAAGCACCGTAGACAAGAAGGAACAAAATCATAGGAAAATAACTGAACTACAATACTTTACATTTCATATCCTGGCTGAACAGATACAATGTCCTACAATACAGTAGGACATTTTGTTCTGCCTTTATCTGACTACGGTGGATCGAAGGTTTGATTTCTGTTTTGGGAGACAATCGTAAAAGATAAACCAAAAAGCCAACAAGAGGCAACAAGAACTTACGGCTCCTGCCATCATCCGACTGGATCTTCAAGTTCTCTCTCTGGTGTTAACATCCCCTTAATCAAAAATGGCCATCTAAAGGCAAGGCAAGTTAATTTATATAGCACCTTTCAACACAAGGCAATTCAAGGTGCTTAAAGAAATACCAAACAAGTGAAAGCAGGTTTGAACAGGTTGTGAAGTCGAACAAAATGCAAATGATCGAGATGCTGAACACCCAAAATGTTGCTGTATGCGTGTGTTGCGACCTGGCTCAAAAGGCCACAACAAAAAGGAGACACAACATGTCAGCGGGTAGGTAAAGATGTTTATTTGCACAACACTGGTCAATTCAACACATTGGTTATACTCATCAGAGCCGGGTGCCTGCAGGAAAACAGCGCGAGAGCAGACAGGAGCAGAGAGGCTTTAAAATAGCTGCAGAGCACCAGACCCAGGTGCCCTGAGTTAATGCAATCACTGCAATCAATGCAGCCAAGACAGGACAGCCACACCCTCTCCACTGATGAACCCACAGGGGCATCACAGCCCCCCCCTTAAGACGGAGGCCCCAAAGGGATCCCCGAAACAACACCAAATATCCAGAGCCAGAGAAACTCCCTACCCCACCGGGGCACGAGAGAGAGCATCCGCCACAACGTTGTCCTTCATGTACTGGACCTCAGCATCCAGCACCCTACGCTTATCTGCAGGACAATGGTAAAATCGCTGCTTAATTGGAGGACTGTCCCCCACGTCGATATCATGCTCCACGAGAGTTGTGCGCGATGGCGTATCGCCGAACAGTACCACAAACTTCCCGATTAAAGCCGCCAATTCATCTCTCTGTGCTGCCGGTAAGTGACTCAACAAGCGATCCAATTGGCATAACGACTCCGAATTCCTCAGCCTACCAGACATAACAGGTTCATCTGGTGCCTTAACATCACACTCCTCAGCCAACCCTTGATCTGAAAGCACAGAATCAACCATCATTATGGGGCCCACACCCAACTTTTTAACCATGAAGCTATCCCCAACGGTATCACGAACATAGTACGGTTTCAGGAGGTTGACGTGACACAGTTGAGACAACTTCCTCCGATTTGAAGTAGCAATCAGGTAATTTTGATCTGACACTTTACTCTCAACAGTGTACGGGCCGGCAAACTTGGCTTTGAATGGTGAAACCTGCAGTGGCATCAAAGCCAACACCTGATCCCCTGGGCTGAATTCACGATACTTGGCTTTACGGTCATAGAGTCTCTTCATATTAGCCTGAGCACCAGCTAAATTTTTCCTTGCCATTTCCACCGCTACATACAGGCGATGACGAAAGCCCTGTATATAGTCCACTAAATTTTTAGGTGGCTCACCCTCAACCAAACCATCCTGGAGAACAGATAACACCCCACGCACCTTATGCCCAAAGACCAAATCATTAGGGCTGAACCCTGTACTTTCCTGAATGACTTCCCTGGACGCCAACATGAGCCATGGAAGTCCCTCCTCCCAGTCCTTCCCCATTTCCATACAATAAGCACGCAGCATGGACTTCAATGTTTGATGAAACCGCTCTAGCGCCCCCTGGCTTTGGGCATGGTAAGCCGACGCACGGTTATGCCTGACCCCCAGCTGCTGTAGAATCTGTTTGAACATATGGGAAGTAAAGTTGGTACCCTGGTCGCTTTGAATCACACGTGGGATCCCAAATGTGGAGATGAACTGGGTTAAAGCCCTAACTACTGGCTTCACTGAAATGGAGCGCAAGGGAAACGCTGCAGGATACCTTGTCTGGCACATTATAGTAAGCATGTACGCACAACCGGACTTAGATGGAGGCAACGGCCCCACACAATCTATGATCAAATGCTCAAAAGGTTGACCAAGGGCTGGAATGGGACTGAGGGGTGCAGGCTTCACCACCTGACTTGGTTTACCAGTGAACTGACATATGTGGCATGCTTTAATATAACTTGCAACATCGCGCTTTAACCGAGGCCAGAAAAAATAGCGTAGGACACGGTCATAGGTTTTTTTTATCCCCAAATGTCCCCCACTATCATGCGCAGTTTGCAATATCACATCACGAAAGCTACTCGGCACCACCACCTGAAAAATTGCCTCCCCCACAGCATCACCAACACAGGGCACCCACTTACGCACCAGCAAGTCCCCCTGAACAAAGTAACCCTGGGCTATGTCTCTGACCTTCTCTGCCGGCAACACTTCAGTCCACAGAGCAGAAAGAGATGAATCGTCCCTCTGACTCCTGACCCAGTCCTCCTTTGACACCGACGAAGGGAGATCAGGCAGTGAGACCACATGTACCACATTACTTTTTCTACACTCCGAAACATGTGGGTCAGCAGACATTTTACGGCTCTGTGCCCGTGTCACCGCACAAACTGGAAACACACTTGGAAACTGCAAACCACTCTCATCTGGCTCCCCAGATGCCACCGGCCTGGAAACCACCACAGGCGGTGGCACACCAGCCCACACAGCACTACCAGCGAGATCGTTTCCCAAAATCATATGTATCCCATCAAGTGGTAACGCGGGACGCACACCGATAGACACAACTCCCCGCACCAGTTCGCAATCCAGCACTATTGTATGCCGTGGCACAGGGATCAAGCCCATCTCCATGCCCCTCATCAGCACAAAATCCCCCGTTTCTGTCTCTGACGAAAAAGGCAACACTGACTCAACAATGAATGAGTATCTAGCCGCTGTATCACGCAACACCTTAATCGGCACATATTTGTCACTACCGACTACTGATACTACCGCTTCAGTGATGAACGGCTCAAAACCAGAACCCGCATCCAGGTCGGCACAAACCGGCTTCTTATCAGGCACCATGCCCGAGCCTACACCCAACGGTTTTTTATCCACCACGGCAGAACAACACATGGCTGGAGCATGTGGTGACAAACGAGGCTTCCCCTTCGTTTCCAGCAATGGACACTGCTCCTTCCAATGACCCCCACCTTTGCAATAGTGACATTGGTCCACTTTGGCCCCCTCGGGTCGCCCTGTACCTGCAAATCTACGGGAGGAGCCTGGTGAAAACTTTGCACGGGCATCTCCATTGTCTTCTCCACGTTTCCAATCACCCCAAGAATATTTCTCCGCAAAACTGCCCTTATGTGTCAACACAAAATCGTCCGCTAATTCAGCAGCTCTAAATGCGGTGGGAGGTTTCTGTTCATTCACATACGTGGCCACACGCTGAGGGAGAATGTTTTTAAATTGTTCCAAGACAATGAGCTCACAAAGACCGTCAAAACTTGCAACCTTTGCTACCGCGCACCACCGCTGAAAATGAGAAGTTAAATCACGGATAAACTCCACATGTGTCTGCTTATCTCCCTTGACCCCACTTCTGAACCTTTGACGATACGCTTCAGGAACCAGTTCGTAAGATTTCAACACCGCTGATTTTACTCTATCATAGTCCAAAGTATTTTCGCCACAAATAGCTGAATAGGCTTCCTGTGCTCGCCCAGTGAGTACACACTGAAGTAACAGCACTCTGTCCGAATCTGACCAGTTTCTTGCCTCTGCTATGTGTTCAAATAGAGTGAAAAAAATGTCCGGGTCACGCTCATTGAACTTTGGCACTAATCGCAAGTAAGAAATTATATCGCCACTGCCTGATGCTAACCTAGCACCACCATCCTCCCCTGGAGAAAACTTGCCCTCTCCCATCAGCCGTAATCTAGCATGTTCCACCTCACATTTCATCTTTTGCACCTCCAGCACCTTCACCTCTAAACGCTTCTCTACCTACTGCTGCTGACCCCTCATCTCCAACTTCTCCAACTTCAACTCCAACTGCAATCTCTCCTGCTCCAATTTCAACTCCAACTGCAATCTCTCCTGCTCCAATTTCAACTCCAACTGCAATCTCTCCTGATTAAACTGCATGGCCAAAAGCTCCTTTTGCTGTTCGAATGTCAAACCAGCTGTCTGAACCACTACTGGCCCGACCCCTGCCACACCAGACTCACTCTTCTGTAACACTCCCCGCTCAAACAAAGATGACACGATGACAGCTTTAATGTCATGTTTCCGCTTGCTCCCTACAACAGCAATTTCATAATGCTCTGCTATTTCGATCAACTGCGCCTTCTGGCAACCATCCAAGAAAGATACTGAGGGCGCATCCACAAACGCTGACAAAGAAGCCATAATATATTGCCTATACCCAATCAGAAAGCAAAGTACTCAACTGTCAACACGCCTGGGCGAAAAGACAAAACCCAACAGAGAATTCCCCCCTAACTGCCTTACCAAAATCTTCCTAATCTCACCTAGTCTTCATGTGGCTTGCGGCGGGTAATTACGCACTGGAACCCGGCGGATTTATGGAGCGACCTGCACGCAGGTAACACCAAGAAATCACGCGGATGTGCCCCCGAGACAGCTGTCCGAAAACAGCTGACACCAACCACGTCGCCACAACACTATGAAAAAAACAAACAGACGGAACCCAAGGGGAAACGCCACTTAAGCCTAGCGGGGAAAATCTCTTTTACAAAAGCGTAACAAACAGCAATATCTTACCTTCTGATTGGCACACAAAACCTGATGCCATGTCAAACACTAAAGCATCCTGAAACCCAAAAGACATGATGTGTCCCCCAAATAGCAGCGCAGAGCCAGCACACAGCTGGACCACAACAATGAATCAGCTGCTCAATGAGCACTACACAAACTTTTTAAATAAATAACCCGTTGGACGAGCCCCCATTTGTTGCGACCTGGCTCAAAAGGCCACAACAAAAAGGAGACACAACATGTCAACGGGTAGGTAAAGGTGTTTATTTGCACAACACTGGTCAATTCAACACATTGGTTATACTCATCAGAGCCGGGTGCCTGCAGGAAAACAGCGCGAGAGCAGACAGGAGCAGAGAGGCTTTAAAATAGCTGCAGAGCACCAGACCCAGGTGCCCTGAGTTAATGCAATCACTGCAATCAATGCAGCCAAGACAGGACAGCCACACCCTCTCCACTGATGAACCCACAGGGGCATCACAGCGTGACATGTCCACAGCATTACATAAGTAATATCTTTAGATAGATCTTTAATTTGTCATTGTACAGGTACAACGAAATTACAATGAACTCAAGGTGCCAACATGCAACAACAAGACAATATGAAAACAAGAAATGGGACTTAAATAGACATGATAGGGAATATGTACATAAATAAATAATAAATTAAATTGCACGGAAGGCTTATATAATTTAGTGCATGTTTCTGGTCTGTTTAGTCACAATTAACGTGTTAAGCCCGAGAAACCCCGGTACTGGAAGAGCGTTGGTGCACTGGAGAGATTAAATGTCTTCTTCGTCATATCTAGAAAAACTCCACCCATTCAGTTTTATCATGGGAATGCCACACACACACACACACACACACACACACACACACACACACACACACACACACACACACACACACACACACAGACAGACTATAACACCCCTTGCTGTTAAATACCAACCAACTACGTGCAATATATATATGCTGTTAATAACTGTGTAATATACACCTGGCTGCTAAATCCTAAGAACTGTTACAGGATGTGTATTTTGAAAATTATGTAACTTTTTTTATTTTTTATTATATTTTTTATTATATCATAACTTAGTACTTTAATGCATGTAACATAACATGAAGCTGTCTGTGGCTCTTTTTTCTGCTGTAACTATGTAAATGTCCCCTCTTTCTGTTACCAATCAGTGTCTTAAAATATCTAAAATACATGTATTTTAAGTCTTCTCAAATAAAAAGCACCACTGATAGTTAATTTAAGCTCTTTGAAAATGAGCAAAAATATCTAAATGAAACCCAACCTGTCCTTTGGTTCTGCAGGAACACGCCTCAGGCTCCGTTCACCTCATTTGCACCACCCCTTTGCGTCTCTGCTCTTTAAAAAGGAGACTCGTCAGGGGAAGTCTATCTGCAGCCGCCTCTCCGACCTACAACACCAGCAAACACCGTCAACATCTGCCTGCCAGGTGAGGGTTTTACATTTTACTGCAATATCACAACCACAGTCATTTAAAAGTGTGTGTATACACATGCACTGGGAGGGTAAACTGTACAAATCTCCAGTTTTCACTTACATTGCATGAAGACGATCGAGCGTTCAATAAAAAATCCTTCTCATCCCTTTTCTCATTTTACATTCTCATGTTGCAGAATCGTTTACAGCTGATCCTTTGCTTGAGTTGCTAGTTGTCTTAAAGTAATATCATGTGTTTTGGATGTTATATCTCTGTGCAAAACACATATTTAAACTTTTCCATCTCATGTAATCATTGTGAGGCTTAGAGGGATCATATTACTTCCTGTGAGCCATCGGGAAAACCCTTTGTGGAACTCAGCTTTGGCTGATGTTCCTCCCCTTGTTGTCGAACGCAGGATGAAGAAGAAGCTGATCCTCGATGTGGACACCGGGGTGGACGATGCTCACGCCATCATGATGGCCCTGGCCTCCCCCGACGTGGAGGTTTTGGGGATCACCTGCTGCCATGGCAACACCCCCCTGGACAACGTCCTCAAAAACACGCTGCGTGTCCTGCAGGCAGCAGGCAGGCTGGATGTGAGTTTGAATGTAACATCAGGGGTGTTAGTCCATGTCCATGGAAGGTATGATGGTCTCAAAATTAGAATAGCTCTATGGGATGGGTGGGGAAATTAGGTTGGGTTGTGTATGTTCAATATTGGCCTATTTGTACAAAAAAAGATCTTAATGCTGAGAAAATGTGATGTGAATGTGCATAAATAAAACAGTAATAATCCTGAGTCATATGAGTATTGCACAGAATAATAATTGTGCAGGTTTTAGAATATTGTCTGTATTGCACAGTTTAAGAGGGTTTGAGCAGCTGTTGGTTGGAGTAAAACTAAAAGTATGCATGCTTTACACATCCCGCTCCACAGATCCCAGTGTATGCCGGCTGTGATAAGCCCCTGCTGGCCCGTAAACAGCACGCTGGAGATTACCACGGGAAGGACGGGCTGGGGGACGTCCCGGACCCCAGCGCCCCGGGGCTGGAGCTGCTGCACAAGAGGAACGCCGTGAAGGCCATGATCAAGATAATCAACGAAAACCCCGGAGAGGTGAGGCTTCATGGATCTGAGAGTAGCAGAGGGGTGTGACTAAGATTATCACCAGATTACATTAGTTAAAAGTATAATAAATAACAATGTATGAGAAAATAGAAAAGTAGTAATGTTTGTGGTGTTTTATACCTCACCCATTTTTCCCATTTTGCCCAAAAAAGATCATACAAGTCTAAATGTGTGTGTTTGCTGTCGACAGGTGACTCTGGTTGCCACGGCGCCCCTCACTAACCTGGCCGTCGCCGTGCAACTGAACCCCAAAATCCCTAAGAAACTGAAGGCGCTCTACATCATGGGAGGAAACACTGAATGTATGTTGTTACTTTCAAAATGACTGTTAAATATCTTCCTCCTCTGCAATCAAAGTTATGATGTGCATGTGTGTGTGTGTGTGTGTGTGTGTGTGTGTGTGTGTGTGTGTGTGTGTGTGTGTGTGTGTGTGTGTGTGTGTGTGTGTGTGTGTGTGTGTGTGTGTGTGTGTGTGCGTGCGTGTGTGTGTGCAGCCAGAGGTAACACTACAGTGTGTGGAGAGTTTAACTTCGTGGCTGACCCCGAGGCGGCCTACATCGTGTTGGACCGCTACACCTGCCCCACCTACATCGCCACCTGGGAGTTCACCTGCAGGAACAGCCTGTCCTGGGTGAGGCAGCACACACAGATTTTAAATTCATAGTCGTTTGAAAGACTTCATGCTGACACACAGATGATAACGCTGTCTGTCTTCCTCCCTCAGTCCTGGTGTGATGAGCTACTGGCCATAAACACACCCAAAGCCAACTTTCTGAAGACTATCTCGTGCCTTTCCAACAAAGTAAGGACTGTGCAGAAACAAATCACACTTTGAAATATCATGATCACATTTGCGATGACATTGACAATACGCTGCAGGAAACGGCTGCTTTAAACACCATGCCCATGTATGTTTGCACAAGTTGTTCTCAGGTGGGTAATTGGGCACCACACCTCACTATAAAATGTCCTTGTAATTAAAATGTTCTGCAGAATCTATATGTTGGACATTCCAAATATTTGATCAGGGCTGGGATAATACCTTTTGGAGCCCTAGGCAGAATGCACTCCCTCTGACTATCACTGTAAAATGAGACCTGCACATTTCTGTAACGGATCATGGCTTAAACAGGAAATATTATGCTCATTTTCAGGTTATATACATATTACATATACATATACATACATATTTGTATCTTGTGCCTCTACTGTGACATGTTTACATGCTTTAATGATCAAAGGTGGGAGTGAGACTCTCTCTGGAAGAAAACTTGCAGACCATTTAAATGCACAAAAACCTATATAACCCACTACAGGAAAAATGAGAACCCTAAAAAGCACAAAAGGCTGTTTAACTCATACATGTTGTTTGGTGGCCCTCTAGTGTCAGCTGTATGGTCACTACATGCCTTAATGTGCGTCATGATGTGTTTCTCTGCAGAAAGCTCGGTCTGTAGACTACCAAAAGGAGATCACAGAAGGAAAAGGCTTCAACTCCTGTGACACCTACGCTTTGGCCGCCGCCATCAATGATACTCTCATAACAAAGAGTGAAGAGGTGGGAACCCCCTGCTTAACGGTCTTTTAAATACCCCAAATCAAATCATTTTCCAACCTTTTCTTGTGTTTTTCCATCAGGTTGCAGTGACAGTGGAGCTGGAGGGGAACTTCTCCCGAGGCATGATGGTGCTGGACTACATGGGCCAGCTGAACAAGAAGCACAAGGTCTTCATCATGAAGGAAGTCGACAAGGAGAAGTTACAGCAGATGTTCATGAACTCAATGAAGTAGAAATGAAACACATCAATTGGGTGCATCAGAATGAATAAACGTGACTTTTACAATGAAAAAGGGCTTGGGCTTTCTTTATTTTATTTATTTATTCATTTATTTAACAGGGACAGTGCACATTAATGAACATTCCTGTAAACGTGCCAGAGTTAGCCAAGAGGCTAATTTTCATCTGTAGTCCCTGGACAGATTTTAAAAGTCAACCTAAAACACATTTCATTTTAAACAAGTAAATACAATACATTTAAAACATGCAACAGACATTACTGGGATACTTAAATAAAACAATTTAAAATGCAGAACATTAAAACAAAACAAAAGAACATGTTAAAACACAGGCAGTGGGTTGTAAGGAGCAGAAGATTGGGTCAGTGTTGGCAGAGCTGATTCCTCACTAACCAGATTTTGAGTTTTGATTTAAATAAAGTGAATATGGTCTGGTGTCTGATTGGAGGTGGGATTGAATTGCATTGCTGAGCAAAATTAACATTTTGATGGCCTTCCATGCCAAATAATCTTTCACACGACCTGACATGACCTATGTAGCACAACACATATTCAATTAGCAATACAATATGTTATAAATACACACAATTAAAGACAAGCACATTTCCTCCCAAAGTATTATTTATTTTTGTTCTAAGGAGATGCACATTGTATTGATGCTCTGAAAACCAAGTCTCCATGAGGTTTCATTTACTCACATATGGTTTAAATATATTTTTCGTACTCGCTGTACTCCTTGGATGAACACTCAGAGGGTTTTCATCCAAGCACTATTTAATATCTCCTCTAATGCCATAGAATGTGTTGACAGGAGAAGTTAAAGCAGATGTTCATGAACGCACTGAAGTAGAAATATACAAAAACAAGCTGAAGGCATGAATGTGGTTCATCAAAATAAAAGATAATAGGAATATAGCGGTCATTTTTTCAACCACACACACTTAAAGTTCCTGTCTGTCTCACATAAGCATATCACACGTCTGTGTCCACAAGCATGCGACTGCAGAGACGCAATTAAAGCTTGCTAGACATGCCATTTAACTCATAGTTTGCATAGTTTTGGATCCAAAGAGCAACAAATACAATTGCAGTGTGTGCAACAAGAGAACATCAAGTCAAATATGATCCTCATTAATGCATGATAAAGCAATTGTGTACTAGGAGGAGGGGACTAAATATTGTAATGCAAGTCCAACTAAAAAAAAGTTCTGTTGCGTTATCCTAAGTTTTGAAGCAGTACAAAAAGCAGGGGGGAGCAGAAAGGCGATTCACTCAGTTTGAAGACACTTTGCCTGACTGGTAAGTTGGTTGTTTTGCTTTCTGTGCCGCTAAACTGCATGCTTTCTCACCCAGTTAGTTGATTAGTTAATGTAAAATAGATTAGCTTTTACTAAAAATGTGCAAATACCCGAATTGACTCAGGAGTGTTTAGATTTAGGTGTGGACCCACCCTTTCCAAAAACATGGCGGACAGCACAAACCCCTTCTGAACACACACCGTCATGCCTTTTCTCGCAGGTAAAATGAAGAACAAGATCATCATCGACGTGGACACAGGTGTGGACGATGCTCAGGCTATCATGATGGCGCTCGCGGACCCAAACGTGGAGGTTTTGGGGATCACCTGCAGCCATGGAAACACCCCCCTGGAGAACTCCTGCAAGAACACACTGAGGGTGTTAAAAACCTGCAACAGGCTGGACGTAAGGTTTATTATGAGGACCTAAAACTGTCGTGTATTTAATAGAAGTAAAATATAGAAGTATTGACTTTACAAAGAGTTGCATACCATTTGTAACTTTTTCGTCATGAAGCTTCTTTCTTAGTAATAATTAAATAATAATAATAATAATAATGCAGGGAAAACATAGGAGAATTGTAGAAAATTGTTTGTATTTTATTTGAATTAGGATCAGAAACGTTTGGAAGTGTGTTTTGTCACTGTATGTTGAGCAGTTTACAAGTTTCGGTGAGATGTGGAACATTATATAAGAAGAAAGACTGGGGGAAAATAACTTTAAAGGTGATCAGATAGTACAGAGATATTACATTTGTATTCATGGAGAACAGATGGACTGACCCAAACAAAGTTGTTGACACTTCTACTAAGAGCAAGCAACATGGCACGACAAAACATAAAAAAACAAAGAAGGCAAAGTTGTTATATATATATACATATATATTTCATCACCTTTTGATAGTGTTCCTTTTTCTTTTTTATATATTCCATACTTATGTTCTTTTTTAACTTGGTTTAGACCGCCTGGTATGAACAGTTGTGTGTATATATAATGATAATGTTATATTAGAAGCATATTTTCTTTAGCTGTTATTTCCCACAGATCCCAGTGTACCGGGGGTGTGCGGAGCCCCTGCTGGCTCGCACACTTCACGCTGGAGATTTCCACGGAAAGGACGGGCTGGGGGACGTCCCGGATCCAAACGCTCCGGGCCTGGAGCTGCTGCAGAAGAAGAGAGCGGCGCAGGCCATCATCAAGATGGTCAACGAGCATCCTGGAGAGGTGGGTGGAGGGTAAACCTTAAACTATGTGGTATTAGGAGTTAAGGTTATTATTGCACATAACACATAATGAAACTGCGCTCATGCTTTACCTGAAATTAAAGTAAAAAAATAGAAAATGGGTGAGATAATGTATAATTTAACCATTATTTGATGCTTTCTACTTCATTACATACATTGTATTTTAACCAATTGTCAAAAATAGCAGGCAATTATTTTTATTTTCCCACCTTGAATGTAGGCTATTGTTCATTTTTAGTTAAATAAATACTAAAATAACAAGATATTTGCCATATAATGGGATTCATAAATTATTATTATATTTAGGAAGAAGTTCATGTACCATAGAGTGCCGCAGATAGTAGATTATCAATGAGTTTAAAAGCGTTTCTGTGTTTACTATTGTCCTCTTCCTTATACCACTATGCAGGTGACTCTGGTTGCCACGGCGCCCCTCACTAACCTGGCTGTAGCGGTGTCACTGAACCCAAACTTCACCCAAAAACTGAAGGCGCTCTACATCATGGGAGGAAACACTGAATGTAAGACGCGTGCGTGTGTGTGTGTGTGTGTGTGGCCTAGCATTACTATACTTGTGGGGACCTAAATCTGTTTACACAGTCACGTGTGGGGACTCGCCTCCCTTATGGGGACAAATTGGAGGTCCCCATGAGGGGAATCATTAATTTTAGGGTGAAGACTTGGTTAGGATTAGGGTTAGGCATGTGTTGGTTATGGTTAAGGTTAGGATAAGTCTCCAGGAAATGCATGCAAGTCAACGTAATGTCCCCTGAAGTGATGTATACATGGTGTGTGTGTGTGTGTGTGTACATCAACTGCTCTTGTTTAACTGTTTAAATGTTAGTGGAGGTAATGTGTTTTGTGTGTGTGTTTTGTGTGTGTGTGTGTGTACATCAACTGCTCTTGTTTAACTCAATGTGTGTGTGTGTGTGTGTGTGTGTGTGTGTGTGTGTGTGTGTGTGTGTGTGTGTGTGTGTGTATGTGCAGCCAGAGGTAACACTACAGTGTGTGGAGAGTTTAACTTCGTGGCTGACTCCGAGGCGGCCTACATCGTGTTGGACCGCTACACCTGCCCCACCTACATCGCCACCTGGGAGTTCAGCTGCAGGAACAGCCTGCCCTGGGTGAGGCACTATATATGTATTCGTTTATTTAATCAAACAACAACATTATGGACTTATTTCAGTGTTGTTGAAGTTAAACTGCTGACTTACTTTGTGTCTTTTTGTCTCCCTCAGTCTTTCTGCGACACTTGGCTGGCACAGGACACAGACAAGGCTCGATTCATGGAGGAGATCTACGCCCACACCAGGAAGGTATGACAGCCTCCTCTTGTTCAATACACTGAGAGAGATAACCTGCCTCTGAATAGTAGTAGAGTAGACGTATAAAGTAGAAGGACATAGAAATACTCAAGTTAGGAAGAAGTATGCCAAAGTTGTACTTGATTAAATGTACCGTTTACCACTGTTGTGGGACTGAAGATGGAAATTAGCTTGTGGTTAAATCTGTCATAGTCCTTGTTTAATAGATATAAATACTACCTGTCCCTGCAGATGGTGCAGACTGAGCGGTACCAGAAGGAGCTGGTGTCAGGCCCGGGCTTCAACACCTGTGACTGCTACGCCATGGCTGCAGCCATCGACGACACCCTGCTGACGGAGAGTGACGAGGTTTTAAAATACTGTTCTCCTCTTTGATTTATCTATTTTCAGCAGAAGGGGCGGGCATTTCTGTATTACATATGTTTTTGTATCTTCCTCCTGCAGGTTGCGGTCACGGTGGAGCTAGAGGGGACTCACACCCGAGGCATGATGGTGCTGGACTACATGGACCTGCTGAAGAAGAAGCACAAGGTCTTCATCATGAAGAAAGTCGACCAGGAGAAGTTCCAACGACTGCTGATGAATTCACTGAAATAGTATCTGAGACAACTCACATTATAGCCTCATCGTATTAAAGTCAAACCCTTCATTATTCCAAACCTTTGTGAAACATTGCAGGAGAAAACAATGCAGCTTACCTGCCAAACATTTTGTAACAGAAAACATCATATTATTCCTGGCAGTATAATTAGTAAAACAATGTATCTGTTGCCTTTTATAACCATTATGTTCCACAAAAATATTAAATACGAGATGATGACTTGATTTGTACGTTCCTGGTATTTGATTTCATTTGAAAACTACAGCATGTTTCAGACTTTAGTATATAATCCTTTGCCTGCTATTAATTTCCAAGAAACACACACTTGTAAAACACACCCTGGTGGGAGGTTTGAGCATTACACATTTGTTTGGAATAGGATTCATTTATTTCCAGAGAAAGTAAAACCAAATTAATAAAACCTTTTATTGTAAGTGCTCAGGAATGTACACTTCATTCAGAGAAAGGAAGAAAGGTGTCCATCCCATGTCCCTCTACTTTCTCTTCAACAAGCAGGATTATTTTAAAGAAAAAAAACAACGCTCGTCAGAAACAATCATCTGTGTATATATTACAACCTGCCAGAAATATTTACAAATCATACAAAAAGAAACAACAATAAAAGCTGCATCTCATCCGTCGTCCTGTTTTCTGTAACTAGTCCAAACACATCCTCAGAGCTCCGAATCCACACCAGAGCCAGACAGAAAATCAACAGAGAGTGGAGTAGCTCGTCCTTAGACTCGAGTCCTTCCCACAGACTGGAAGAAGCTGGAGATTCATTGGTTTGTGTGTCCCGCCTCAGAGACAAAAGGCCCCTACTGCACCCTGTACTTGTAGAACCAGCAGAGGCCCTGTGTGAAGTTCCAGCCCAGAGACAAGGAGAGGATGTAGACGATGACGAGCAGAGCGAAGGGGTACAGCAGCGCCACCGTGTTCTTCAGGAAGGGAAGGGCTGTGGGGATAACCGAGTATAAAAACATCAGCACATTGACACCTATAAAGTCACAGTGAAATGTACAATACGTTCCTACTCCTTTAGAGCAACCAGTGTTTTCGTTGACCCTACATGGACATAAACACTCCAGACAATCAAATAAAATAATAAAAAGCAAGGGCCGTCCCTTCCCAGATATAACCACAACCGCATTTATGGTACCTCTCTGTTTTGTGTCCTAAGACAACTTCCTGTTCCCAGGAAACATAGGCACACTGCCGTTTTGTAATTATTATGACTATCAATTACACTGGTGGATTCTGAAACGACCAATTACTATCAAATAAGAAAAACAACATTAAAAGTATCTTATTTTGGCTTGGAAGATAACTGAAACAACTGTTTAGGACTAACCCTAAGCCAGAAATTGTGTTCAACGGAGGTGGCGTCTTTTACTGCAAAGTTGGTACTTTAATAGAGACAATGTTGAGAATGATCTTTCTCTGTGTGTGTGATTATTGTGGGGGAAACTTCTGAAGCAATTGGAGTCAGGAGAGACACGAGGAGAGCTGGAGCTTTGATGGCAAACACTGACGGTTTATTTGGAGCTTCGGCCGGAGAATTCACAAGACATGTCACGGGCCACGATCTGACCACACGGATGAGATGCCACAATCAATTCTGAAGAGCCCTCCTGTAGCTCCAGGTTTGAACTAGTTCAGAGCGTAATAATCAACATTCTTCAATAGAGAGACTAAACAGCTGAGGACACTGAATCACATTTGTTGTCTCTTACGGCTCGGGGTCATCTGCACCCCGAGAAGGATGTGTTCCAGGTGTCCCACAACTATGACTATCTCTGACCGAGAGCTGCCCGGTCACAAACTGGTAGCAACAACAACTTGCTAGGGCAGCCCCTCCTTATGGGAGATAACGGCTGCTCAAGGTTGGTCAGCTGCGTCAGAGGGCGAAGGAGGACATGCAGGGCGAATGATTCCCCAACAATTATGACTTACCGTTGTATCCCAAGAATGAGATGTAGAGATAATAGCCGATGGCAATCAGCCACGTTGTGTTCCCCACAAAGTATCCTATGAACCAGTCACTGTTTATTACCACGAGATCTGAAACACACAGGACAAAGAGTAAGTGTGGTGAAAAAGGTGGCAGGTGTTATTCTAGAATAGCAATAATATGAATTGCTGATGTGGTATTTAACAATACCAAATGTAAAAAATACAAACTAATCAGAATAGTGTCCTTAATCTTCATTCAACACATACAATGCACCTTTAATTGCACACAAAAACATTTAAAAAGCCTTTCATTTGATGAAGGTATTTCCAACACACTGCTATAACACACAAAGGGTCACTATCTACTCACGGTTTATGAAGAACAGCTGCAGGAAATGCAGGATGATGAGAAGAGGAAAGAAAGCATTGAGGTGAACATCGAATGCGTAGCCCCACTCCACATCAAAGTTTCTGCCTGGCTGCTTCAGGAGGTACTTGTTGGTGATAAACCTGGGGGGAACAAAACGATGTTTCAGATTCAGGAGAGGGTCCATCTGTACAGGCAGTTACACAAAAGTATGCTACTCTTTACTTCCATCTTATATACTCACCACATGAGGGTTGATATGAAAAGACCGACTCCTATACAGTCGACTAACACCACCCACAGCAGCAGCTTCAGGGTCTCCACCACTCCCATGTCCAGCACCAGACCAAAGCCTATCGTTGACACTGTGGAGGAATAAAAGGAGTGTTCAGCCATCGTAGTAAAGTTACAACATCTTGTCTACTGTTGGGAAAATAGTGAATGTCCTCTTCCAACATGAGAGTAACATGATAACAAAGCTATCCCAACTGTAGCTGTGAACATGACAGGATGTGTGATTACCTAGAAGAGCATCAGGACTGTTTGAGGCATGTGATAGCTATGTGATTAACATGATGATTCAACCTCTATGGAGAGAGACATCAAGCATGCTCATTTCTGACGTGGAGCTAATCTGAAGTAAACATTGAATACTGCTTTCTATTCCTCCATCTTGTGACTGTGTAACTCCCTCTCTTGGATATGAGCATGTGAAGGACACTGTTCAGGAACTAGCTGATGCTCTGTATGTGATGAGAAATACATGGATCCTGAGATTGAAGCTCAAGCCGGGGACGAGTGATATTTTCCTAACATCTACAATCGAGTATAAACTTACCACATAGCCAGATGCCGAGCAGGACCAGGAAGGCCGGGTCGTCCCTCGCCCACTGGTCCTTGGTCTGTTTCCTGTAGTGGAAGTTGCGGTAGACTCTCTGTGGCGACGTAAACAAGTAAAGCATCTGCCAAATGGCAAACTGAAAGTCCATCTGCTTGAAATGGAGCAGTCGCCGCAGGTACTTGTAGCGTTTGAATCCCGCCGTGTGACGTGCAGTGTCTCTTGAGTCGAGGGCGGCGTTGCTGTGCGGCGAAGTGGTCGGCAACATCCTGCTAAATATCAAATGAAAAGTAAATATAAGCAGGGAAGATATAGAAGATAGGTTGATTTGCTATACACGTGCTTATGGTGGAGAAGGACATGTTTTGAGAATGTGTATACTCAATTAAGCATATTATGAATGATATATGATCAAGATTGTTCCAAGGTAAAATGCATTTAAACACAGTAGCGCATGATTATTTAAGTAATAATGATGTTAAAAACATTATATTGCACATAATATCTATATTTTAATCCAATCTTAACAGTGACATAGTTGCTGTATTTATAGTTGGTAAGCCATACAGATACACATTCCTGTAGTTCACATTTATATGATATACTCTATACATCTATTACATGTGTCCTATAACATAATATCAATGCAAAGTCACTAAAAAAGAATGACAACAGAGAAACAGAGGATGCTAATGTGATAAACTATGTAAGAAAAACACAAAGATGCTTATTTAATTATATGTTATTAAATGAAACACCTAAACTAGGACATTTGTACCCCTAGCAAGCATTGGTATAATATAATGTTGTTGTTAGTTGACGCTAACAACACAGGTATCACTGTTAGCTTGATGCTAACTAGTTTAATGAAAAGAGAAGGCCTAGTCAGGTTTATTTGTAAAAAACTTGGGGAAAACGAAGCAGTGACTATTTGTTATAAGCTAAACAACTAACGTATTTACTCTGAATATTATTCACCTGTTTTTGATGAAAAAGCTCCAACTCTGCTCGTTTTCTGTAGCTGTTTGCTTCCTGAACTGTCGCGAAGATGAACACGTAGAAACTTCCGGTATCAGGCGGTGCATCATGGGAAATGTAGTAAAGGGTGGACATCAGGATTTCATGCAGTGATGTAAGCCTGCCTGCGATGTAATTTAATTAAAAATAATAACACATTTAAATAGAAAGAAAGAAAGAAATATTAAGAAAATAGTGATTAAATAAGACTAGGAAAGATTTCAAGTAAAATTATTGTTGATCAAATACAATCAATAATTAAAGATGATCACATTCATACGCACTATTATACAAATTAAATACAATTTTGTGTCCTTTGAAAACGTTATGATTTATGTGTGAACAAACATTTTAAGCACAATGTTAACTTCATTTGAAACGGAAATAGGACAACATTCTACTTCCGCTCCCCAACGCCATAGCTTTCGACTGGTGTTAAAAACTCTGATAACCGCTGTTCTGGTCAAGAAGGCCAAATAGCGAAAGGTAAGAAACTAAAACACTTTATACACTTACTAATGTTTAAATGCGTTTGTTATTAATTTGCGAAGCGAGTGTAAATGTCTGTATTTGACCTCATTATCCCTTTTAACCCTCTTACAACATTGCAATGCCCGTGTCCTTGAGTGCTCTTAGCTAACAGCTAGCCTGCAAGCAATGAGTCCTTAGGAAGGTCCAAGCTACCTATTAGCTTGTATCCTCTTGACATCACTTAAAACCTGTATAACACATGCATTAACATTTAGTTTTGTCAGTATGTTTCCGCACTGTGCATAACCTCCTTGAAACGAGTACCTAGCTGGTTGAGTAACAGCATCATTGTTGTTGACAGTGACAGCTAATAGGCTAACACTGCCACTGAGTTATACTTTGATATATTTGTTAAACCAGTCCAGTGAAAGTTACCTATATACATGTTTGAAAAAGGGAGCAAGGTCATTTATTTAATTCCTACTCAATCTGAATTAATACAAGCATCTTATATCAAGCTTTGGGCTTAATAATAGAATCAATACAACTTTTAAAAAATGAACATAATAATATAAATTAGACCT